CAGCCCGGGGTCATCACATGTGGTTGCCGCAAGCCCGCCGGACGTTCCTCACTTTATCCCCCGGCCTCTGCTCACTCTAAGCCGGCGTGTGTGATACTGTGTTTCGTTGTGAAAGTGAAACTACTTTGTTTGGCCTTCCAAAAATGGACACGACTAGAAATCAGTGGTTAAGTTGTATTCACAATTTCTTTACTGCCATTAAGCTCAATTTTGTGTCATTGCTGTAAAAAGATATTTCTTTTAAAAAAGATATGTGTGTGAATGTATATGTGCAGTTACATGTAGTTTCTGTCTTGCTGTCTTTAGGGATGCCAGTGGAGCGATCACGTCTCTGGATGGTCATCTGAACCTAGAGAACACTGATTATAAAAAGACTACTAAGATCACCTGGCTCGCTGAATCCAGCCGCGCTCCACTCGTGCCCACTGTCTGCGTCAACTACCAGCACCTCATTACCAAGCCGGTTTTGGGCAAGGATGACGATTTCAAGGCTTACATCAACAAGAACAGCAAGGTGTTGTACTCAAGTCTGTTGGGGTGTTGTCTGGGTAGTAATGTTCAGTTCTGTGCTTGGCTACTTTCATTTGTGAAAATAAATCTATAATGCATAAATGCATAATACATAAATGGCTTTTTGCAATGTGACAAATAGTTAAGACAGAATTATAATAGTCTTACTGTATGTTCATCATAATTACACACTTGATTTGCATAACATTTATGAATGTTACTACATTACATGAGAAGATGCAAAAATGCAAAAAACATTCAGAAGTATCTTATGCTCACCAAGGCTACATTTATTTGGTCAAATACAGTAAAAACAATCATGTAATATGTAATTCCTGTGATGCAAAGCTGAATTTTCAGAAGCCATTAAGCTAGTCTTCAGTGTCAAATGATCCTTCAGAAATCATTCTAATGTAATGATTTGGTGCTCAAGAAAATGTATTATCATCAATGTTAAAAACAGTTGTGACACTTGATATTTTTGTGGGAACCATAATACATTTTTAGAATCTTTCGAGTAGAAGGTTTAAAAGAACAGCATTTATTTGAAATATAAATAAAGCTTTTGTATATATTGTTTTAATGTTGATATGTATTAAAATGAATGATTTGTTTCCAGATAGAGGAGAAGATGCTAGGAGACCCTTGCCTGAAGGACTTGAAGAAAGGTGACATCATACAGCTGCAGAGACGAGGTTTCTATATCTGTGATCAGCCTTATGAGCCAATCAGGTTACACCTCTAATCCGTTCAACACAGAGTCTTATGAATAATACATTTTCTGTTTTTATGCTCTGTTTGTAATTTGACCTCTTTGTTCAGCCCCCACAGCTGCAAGGAGAGTCCCTGTGTCTTGCTGTACATCCCAGATGGACACACAAAAGAGATGCCCACTGCTGGCTCCAAGGACAAGAGCAAGAGCCAGACAGCTGCTAAACCTGTGAGCACTAAACTGGAACATCTATTCGTTCTCTTAATTAGTTTGTTTTCAAATGTTGAAGAAAATGATCGCTCTATTCATATTGTTCTTCCTTCAGGTGAAGGCAGAGTCTGTTCCTCTGAGCAAAGCCAAGCAGGCTCCTGTGTCCAGCCCAGCGCCAGCCGCACCAGGAGACTCTTCCGTCCTGTACTCCAGCCTTGTGGCTCAGGGAGACCTGGTCAGGCAGCTCAAGACAGACAAGGCCCCTAAAGAGCAAGTGGACGCTGCTGTAAAGCAGCTCTTGGCCTTGAAATCTGAGTTTAAACAACTGACCGGACAGGAGTACAAACCTGGCATGGCTCCACCCACATCTGCTCCAGCACCGAAGAGCTCCACCCCCACCGCTGCAGCAGAAAGTCCGAGCCCTGCCTCCACCGGTTGTCCATACACTCGTGTTGCTGAGCAGGGCGAGGTGGTTAGTAAACTGAAGGCTGAAAAAGCACCCAAGGTCTGTTTCAGTCACTATTGCATAACCTAGCAAGCTGCCTACCTAAACAGCATTTTCTAGTCACACTTCTGCATTCTAAGCATTTTCACTTGCTTATAAGGGTCTGCTTCATTGGGATCCTGTCTTAAGGTGTGGACACATTCTCAAAATTATGCAGGAAAAAAAAAAGAGTCTATTGTTAAATGAATAGTTCACCCAAAAATGAAAATTCTTTCATCATGAATGAGTTTCTTTCTTTTGTTGAACATAATTTTTTTTGAAGAATGTTGGTAACCAAACAGTTGTTGGCCCTCATTGACTTCCATAGTATGGAGAAAAAAAAATACTATGGAAGTCAGTGGAATTATTTGGTTACCAACAGTTTTCAAAATATTTTATTTTGTGTTCAACAGAAGAAAGAAATTCATACAGGTCTGGAACAACAGAATTTAATTTTGGTGGAACTATCCCTTTAATAGTATAGCATCTTCTATGTAGTGTCACACAGAAGTAACTTTCAAACCAAGCTGCTTTTTCTTGATCAGACATTTGCTTGGCAAACTTGAACACAAGTGAAATCTGTGTGGGGAATTTTTTCTCCTCACACAAAACTTTTGATCATACAGTTTTCTATTGAAATGCCACAAACTTCTGCAGAACAGCGGTAAATGTGGCCGCACCTTTAGAAGGTGTAAGTAGTATACAGCAGGACATCAGACATTATGTCTGTTAGTAGTTTAGAACTGTCTATAACTGTGATAAATATTGAAGTAATTGTTGACCATTGTCTAACTTATTTTACAGGAGCAAGTAGATGCTGCAGTGAAACAGCTCTTGGCTCTTAAAGCTGAGTTTAAACAGCTCACTAGTCAAGAATACAAACCAGGCATGGCTCCTCCCACAGCATCTCCCCCGCAGCCCGCGCCTTTACCTGACTCCTCCACTGCTGCCACATATGGGCGTGTGTCCGAACAGGGGGAGGTGGTCAAAAAGCTGAAAGCAGAAAAAGCACCAAAAGTGAGATAATAGTTACATCTATTTTCTATAGATTGGAGTATTTAATGTTTTCTTCAGGATACATTTTCCCCCCTAAGATTTTTATTTATTTTATTCAGTTTCTGTATCTTTTAAATATTATATTTAAATATACATAAATAAATGGCATATATATATATATATATATAAATACAATTATTATTATTTTGTATTATATAATGCGTAATGTATTTTAAACTAATTATTATTATTATCATTACTACTACTACTATTATTGAATTTAATTTCTTTATTGCTATGGTGATTTCAGAAATCATGGTGTGTAATTTGCAATTTACTTCTAAATAAAGAAGCATCATTTTTTTTTCTCCCCAGGACCAGATTGATGCTGCAGTGAAGCAGCTTTTGGCTCTGAAGGAAGAATATAAGCAGGTGATAGGGCAGGACTACAAACCCGGAGTTCCCCCTGCTGGTGCATCTCCATTGACTCCAGTTCAGCCTGCTGCAGTGTCTGGCTCCTCTGACAGCTCTCCTAAGGCTATTTATGATCGCGTCTCTCAACAGGGAGAACTTGTGAGGACATTGAAAACAGAAAAGGCACCCAAGGTTTTGACTTATTTCAGTTTTGCTCTGAATTTTTAAATATCTGATTTTAAAATGATTGTAAATAGTATTCAACAATTGCTTATATTTTTACAGGATCAGATAGATGCTGCTGTGAAGGAGTTGCTCACTCTTAAAGCCGAGTACAAGCAGCAAACTGGACAGGATTACAAAGCAAGTGTGCCTCCATCTTCAGGCCCCGCCCCTGTACAATCTAGCCCTGCCCCACCCCAATTTAGCTCCTCCCAGCCTCAATCCAGCTCCTCCCCTCAGGCTCAAGCGCTGTTTGCAGACATAGCCCAGCAGGGGGAGCAAGTGAGACGGCTTAAAGCAGAGAAAGCTCCTAAGGTTGGTTTACATTTGTTTGCGATATTTAATTATTAATCTGGCTTTATTTTTGTGCTCATGTGATTCTAATCTGTATTTAGGAGCAAGTTGATAAAGCAGTGAAGACTCTGCTTGAACTGAAGGGTCAGTATAAAGCCCTCACTGGTGAGGAGTACAAGCCTGTGACCACCCCAGGATCCTCAGGGAACACGGGAGGAGAAGACAAGAGCCGCAAGGACCGAGAGAACAAGTCTGAGAAGCAGGGAGGAGGAGGAGGAGGAGGAGGACGCAAGCAACAGAAAGGAGGAGAGAAACCTCAACAAGTTCAAGACTCTGGAGCAAGTGGAGCAGGAGATGGCCAGGGGCCAAAGAAACAGACACGGTGCGTGGCAAAATCGCAGCGCTGAGCTGCCCTTTGTGGTTCCACAAGATGTTGATAACTCTTTGAATGGAGACTTGAGAAAGTTTTGCAGTTGTTTTAGTACTGCCACAACTGGTTTTGTCCTCCAAGACTAAACCCCAAACGCACTCTGTTGTGTCTGAATATCTTTTTCAGACTGTAAGCTGTGTTTATGAACATTTCAGTTTTGCATTAAGGAAATGTGTTTGCAAGCAGGGACAGTACATTCATACACTTACTGTGTTTTTCAAATGTAGGCTGGGACTGGAGGCAAAGAAAGAGGAAAACCTGGCTGAGTGGTACTCGCAGGTACACTTTGTTCACATGATTTTGTAAATGTTTTTGTTTTTCAGAGCCGCAAGGACCGAGAGAACAAGTCTGAGAAGCAGGGAGGAGGAGGAGGAGGAGGAGGACGCAAGCAACAGAAAGGAGGAGAGAAACCTCAACAAGTTCAAGACTCTGGAGCAAGTGGAGCAGGAGATGGCCAGGGGCCAAAGAAACAGACACGGTGCGTAAGAAACAAAATCGCAGCGCTGAGCTGCCCTTTGTGGTTCCACAAGATGTTGATAACTCTTTGAATGGAGACTTGAGAAAGTTTTGCAGTTGTTTTAGTACTGCCACAACTGGTTTTGTCCTCCAAGACTAAACCCCAAACGCACTCTGTTGTGTCTGAATATCTTTTTCAGACTGTAAGCTGTGTTTATGAACATTTCAGTTTTGCATTAAGGAAATGTGTTTGCAAGCAGGGACAGTACATTCATACACTTACTGTGTTTTTCAAATGTAGGCTGGGACTGGAGGCAAAGAAAGAGGAAAACCTGGCTGAGTGGTACTCGCAGGTACACTTTGTTCACATGATTTTGTAAATGTTTTTGTTTTTCAGCTGTGTGAAAATCATAATTTTTGCTGTTTTCAGGTGATCACCAAGGCTGAGATGATCGAGTATTACGACGTCAGTGGCTGTTACGTGTTGAGGCCCTGGTCTTACTCTATCTGGGAGGCTATCAAAGAATTCTTTGACCGGGAGATCAAGAAGCTGGGTGTGGAGAACTGCTACTTCCCCATGTTTGTCTCTCAGGCTGCCCTGGAGAAAGAGAAGACCCACATTGCAGATTTTGCTCCAGAGGTGAGGAGATGGAAACAAAGGAATGAAAGGATATGAGCAACACTAGGCCACTAGGCTAGAGATACTTTTGATACATATTTATATACTTCATTAATATTATTCAGCAATAAATTGATAAAAAATGACAGCAAAGACATTTATAATGTAAATGTATCACATTTTCACAAAAATGAAGCTGCACAACTGTTTTCAGCATTGATAAAAATAAAAAAATATTTAGCTTGAATACTAAATCAGCATATTAGAATGATTTCTGAAGGATCTTGTGATTCTAAAGACTGGAGTAATGGCTTTTGAATATTCAGCTTTATCACCGGAATAAATTACATTTTAAAACATGTAAAAAATGTTTTTAACTATTTCACAATATTATTATTTTTGCATAATTTGATTAAATGCATACTTTTTATAGTGGATAATTGAAATGAGATCATTATGGTGGATCATATAATGTAATATTTGGAATTATCAATGTGTGGAAAAGAGAACTACAACTCAGAGAAAAATGTCTTTAGGTTGCTTGGGTGACAAGATCAGGAAAGACAGAGCTGGCAGAGCCCATCGCTGTGCGTCCCACTAGTGAGACAGGTGAGCAACTGCAGCTGTATCTTAAATGGACTGGATTATCATCTTTTTATTATGAATTTATTTCTCCTTTCATTGATGCAGTGATGTATCCTGCCTATGCCAAGTGGGTTCAGTCACACAGAGACCTGCCAATCAAACTCAACCAGTGGTGCAACGTCGTGGTCAGTTTTAGCCTCAGTAGCACACTTTTGCAAACACATCTAAATTAAGGGTCCATGTCTTCATTCTGCTTTTTGCTTTTCTTAGCGTTGGGAGTTCAAACACCCCCAGCCCTTCCTGAGGACCAGAGAGTTTCTTTGGCAGGAGGGACACACAGCGTTTGCCACTAAAGAGGAAGCTGCAGAGGAGGTTAGATGTGATCTATCACACCTCACTCACAACTTACTATTTCCATGCAGATCCAGAAGTAATTTGTACCCTGTTTCTGACCCTCCCACTCTTATCTGTCATGTGCACAGGTTCTGCAGATTCTGGACCTGTATGCTCGGGTGTACCAGGAGCTGATGGCCATCCCTGTGGTCAAGGGCAAGAAAACAGAGAAGGAGAAGTTTGCAGGAGGAGACTACACCACCACTGTGGAGGCTTACATCTCAGCAAGCGGTAGAGCTATTCAGGTTAGCCTTTGGTTTGCGAAACATCCAGATAGTCGTTGTTTGGTCTGTTTAACTGCTTTAAAAATTGAATGAAATTGAATTATACGAGTACACTTTAAAATAAGAAATAGAGTAGAGCTGGGAATTGCCATAAACCTTCCAATTTGATATTATAACTAAATGTAGCTGCCATTTTTATATATATATTCAAATATGAATTATTTATTTATTTTAATGCATTTAGCATTATTTATACATTTGGGCTATTGATGTCCTTAATGTTTACCAATAAAACAAAATAAATAAAATGTAATGTAAGTATAAAAGTACTGTTTAAAATAATAATAAAATGTATAATAATTTAAAACTGTGTTGTATAGTCAAGCATTTTTCAAATTAGTTTAAAAATATAAATAGTAAATAATAAAAAAATATTCCCATCTATTTACTAAACCCTTAAGACAGAACATAGTGTTTACATAAGTTGCACATCATACAAGAATTTAGATTTTTTTTTTTTTAATTTCAAAGGCCAATACCTAGAGCTTGTGTCTCGAGCCGAACTTCTTTTAGCTGGATACAGTATATTAAAGGGGGTCATATGCTAAAAAGATCATTATTTTGTGTAATGAAATGTGTTTATGCGGTTTAAGGTTCAAAAAACATGTTGCGGCGCGTCTGGCGGGCTTGTGGCAACCACATGTGACGACCAGCTCTAGGCATGACGAAGCGGATATCGTCCTCTTTTGGAAGGCCAAACCAAGTAGTTTCGCTTTCACAACGAAACACACAGCGCCTTCACGACATGGCGGCAGCAACAATACTACAGCGAGAATAAAAGTTACTCCTACTTTCTTTGCGTGAACATTTGGGCGGCGTTATGCAAATCTTCCCACATAGTGACGTAGACATGTGGGGGCGTGTTAGAACGAGCCGTTTTAGGTAGGCGTGGTTGACTCTTAACTTTTATAAAGAATATCTCTTTGGATTTGAGTCTTTAGTCTTTGCAACTTTACAGATCTTCTTTATGCACCAAGAGCTTGTATCACTTCAAAGAGAAAGGAAAAATTAAAATCGCATCATATGACCCCTTTAAAAAGACTTATGTATGTGAGGCGCTGCAAACCACGTGAGACCCAAATGCAAAATTAGTTTAAAAATATAAATGGTAAATAATAAAAAAATATTCCCATCTATTTACTAAACCCTTAAGACAGAACATAGTGTTTACATAAGTTGCACATCATACAAGAATTTAGATTTTTTTTTTTTTGAATTTCAAAGGCCAATACCTAGAGCTTGTGTCTCGAGCCGAACTTCTTTTAGCTGGATACAGTATATTAAAGGGGGTCATATGCTAAAAAGATCATTATTTGGTGTAATGAAATGTGTTTATGCGGTTTAAGGTTCAAAAAACATGTTGCGGCGCGTCTGGCGGGCTTGTGGCAACCACATGTGACGACCAGCTCTAGGCATGACGAAGCGGATATCGTCCTCTTTTGGAAGGCCAAACCAAGTAGTTTCGCTTTCACAACGAAACACACAGCGCCTTCACGACATGGCGGCAGCAACAATACTACAGCGAGAATAAAAGTTTCTCCCACTTTCTTTGCGTGAACATTTGGGCGGCGTTATGCAAATCTTCCCACATAGTGACGTAGACATGTGGGGGCGTGTTAGAACGAGCCGTTTTAGGTAGGCGTGGTTGACTCTTAACTTTTATAAAGAATATCTCTTTGGATTTGAGTCTTTAGTCTTTGCAACTTTACAGATCTTCTTTATGCACCAAGAGCTTGTATCACTTCAAAGAGAAAGGAAAAATTAAAATCGCATCATATGACCCCTTTAAAAAGACTTATGTATGTGAGGCGCTGCAAACCACGTGAGACCCAAATGCAATGGTCAAAGTCGTCCATCTAGCATACGTAGAAATAACAATGAAAAAGAAGCTCGGTGGAACTTATATCTGAGTCAGATATACCTCTTACTTTTATTCATTTAGCAGACTTTTTTTATCCAAAGTGACTGAAAAAGAATTCATATCGATTATGTATGTGACTGTAAAAATGTTAACTTTTTTTTCTATTGTTTTTATTTCTTTTTTAATTCTTGCTAAGACAAGATTCACTATTGCTATTACAGATATTTAGGTCTAGGGATGTGCAACATGCTAAAGATCAGAACACAACAGCATTGTACTGAAACCCACCCACAGCACCCTAAACAATCAGAAAATGTAAAAATGTACCTGCAGGATAAGTCATTGAAGTATTGTAGCACCATCAAAATACAGCAGTAAGATCTGAAACAATCCAATCGCTCTCACAGGGTGCCACATCTCATCACCTGGGCCAGAACTTCTCCAAGATGTTTGAGATTGTCTTTGAGGACCCTAAGAAACCAGGTGAGAAGCAGCTAGCCTACCAGAACTCATGGGGCATCACCACGCGTACCATCGGAGTCCTGACGATGGTTCATGGAGACAACATGGGCCTGGTGCTGCCACCTAGAGTAGCATGTCTACAGGTGCGCTGGAGATCCATCATTTCTTCTTTTTGTTTATAGTGGATCGTAGCATTGTATCCAAACTTACACTGTGATTCGCAGGTCGTCATCATTCCTTGTGGCATCACAGCCACTCTCCCAGAAGCAGAGAAGGAGCTTCTGTTGGCCCAGTGCTCCAAATATCTTTCTAGACTACAGAAGGCCGACATCAGAGTCAAGACAGACCTGCGTGATAACTACTCACCTGGCTGGAAGTTCAATCATTGGGAGCTGAAGGTATGGAGGTTCCCTCTCACAGCATAATCACACACTAATGCACAAAGGCTTTATGTCTGACTTCATTTTTCTTTCTTTGCGTTGTCTGAATGCAGGGTGTGCCCATAAGGTTGGAGGTTGGGCCAAAGGACTTAAAACAGGGCCGGTTTGTAGCAGTAAGAAGAGACACAGGAGAAAAGCTCACTGTGCCAGAGGCTGACGCTGAGAAGAAAATCTTAAACCTTCTGGAAGAGATCCAGAACAACCTCTTTAAACGGTACAAGCACCTGCTTTCTACCACATTAGAGTTCTGACATTTCCATCAAATGCAGGATGACTTATGATTTTTTTTAACTTGTCACAGGGCCTCTGATGATTTGCACAAACACATGGTTGTGGCTGATACAATGGAGCAATTCCAGAAAGATCTGGACCAGGGAAGAGTAAGTAAACAATGTGGATCCAGAACTCTTTGGTTACTTTTTTTCCCCATCAAAACCAGAAATTTGCCTAATTCATATAAATTCTCCCAGATTGTGCAGATTCCCTTCTGTGGAGGCATTGAGTGTGAGGACTGGATTAAAAAGACAACAGCCAAGTAAGAGACTAGTCCATTTCTCCATGCTTTTGGGTTAATATTCCTAGATAGCCAGTATTCCATTGCCTTGCCATTGAAATATTAAAACATATTTCAATGCCAAAGGACCCCCAAATATGAAGATCCCTGCTATGGGGACCTCTTCCTATGTATATTGAGCCAATTATACTTGTGTGAGGGGGAAAAAATGTTAAGCATGGTATTGTAGCAACAAGGTTTAAAAAAAAATATATATATACATATTATTGTATATTAAATGATCCATTATGTAATTTATATTTTAACCATTAGAAATATTTTTTTTATAAATGAAATGCTAATATTTTAGATTAATCACATCCAAAATAAAAGTTTTTGTTCACATAATGTGTGTGTGTACTGTAAATATATACATATTATTGTATATTAAATGATCCATTATGTAATTTATATTTTAACCATTAGAAATATTTTTTTTATAAATGAAATGCTAATATTTTATATGGTGCTGTCAACCGATTAATCGTGATTAATCACATCCAAAATAAAAGTTTTTGTTCACATAATGTGTGTGTGTACTGTGTATATTTATTATGTATATATAAATAAATACACAAACATACTTGTGTGTGTGTGTACTGTGCATATTTATTATGTATATATAAATACACAAACATACTTGTATATATTTGAAAAATATTTACGTGTGTGTGTATATATATATATATATATATATATATATATATATACAGACAAAACATTTTTCTTAAATATACATGCATGCATATATAATACACAGTACACACACATATTATGTAAGCAAAAACTTATTTTGGATGCGATTAATCGTTTGACAGCACTAATTTTTATAAATACATTTTATTTTAAATGATTAAATATTGTATTTTCTTTTAAAGCACTAATATTGTCACTACTAAAGGCAAAACTAATTAGACAAATTTTTGCTCTCTGAGTTGGCACTATATCCTTTTTTCTGTGCACTGTTAGTGTTTTATTTTTTTATCACTTAGTGTAAAAAGTATCGCCGTTAATGGAATCAAAATGGTCATTGACCTCACGATATCTGAACAGAAAAAAAATGAATACGTAACAATCGAAACAATAATATTAAATGCTGTGAAGATGTCAAAAATACACTCACACACATATATCCCTAGGATTAACTAGATGAGATTACCATTAACACTGTTCTTTTCTGTGTCCTCAGGGATCAAGACCTGGAGCCTGGTGCACCTTCAATGGGAGCCAAGAGTCTGTGTATCCCCTTCGAGCCCTTGAAGAAACTGCAGGCCGGTCAGATGTGCGTCAGCGGCAAAGAGCCTGCGCAGTTCTACACGCTGTTTGGTCGCAGTTACTGAGACCGTTTTCCACCCCTAAAATAATGACTCTTCTTCTTATCAAATGCACTTGCAGCATAACTGTAAGACATCTGTCATCTCCTCTAACCACGCAAAATACTACTTTTCACTATATTTTAGAGGAATCCCCTCTATTTTTCTGGTCACGGGTTTACTAGCTGGCACGCAGAGAGTTTTAGGCTGATATTAGATGTTCTATGCGGGCCATACTTAACCTTTGCGCATCTTTGTCCTAAATAACTGTCTGACAATTGTAATGAATTAAATATTATCGGTAATAAAGGGATTCTTAATTTCTATAATTTTTTTGTGCTCGTCACGACTTTTGTATCTTTTAGTATTTGGTTTGTGTACATGGGGATCAGAGATTAAGGTGATTTTTTATTTTTTATTATCTAACATACTTTATACACCAAGGGATTTTACTAGATTTATATTACACAAACATAATTGACACACAATATATAAAATTGCTGTGTAATTTATTTATTTTTTGGTTTTTTTTTTTTTTACTGAATAAACTTTAACACTTTAGCTCAACTGCAAATATTGATCATACAATTATGCATACAAAAAGTCAAACAAAAAGTGAACAAGAAAATAAGAGAAAAGAAAGTAATCAAATTAAAAGTGCTAGGAGGTAATATAAAAATCTGAAAACTGGTACAAAGCTCACAAACTTCTAAAGTCTTATAGCTTTCCTATATTAAGAGTATCTAACATAAATACTGCAGTTGTACTTCAGTAAACAAAGTTTCGATTTAACGTGCATTTATGAATGTGAAATTTGTTCTTAATGGTTCATTCTGTTTCTGCGCGACTCAAGTCCCTGTGAATCTCGCGAGAGTCGCACACTATGACGGTAACCTTCTAGCCACGTGCTGGGCTATGCATTTCGATGCTAAACTATTGCATAATTTTAAATACGATTTGTAGTCAGTGGGTTCTAAAGTTACCACTGCGACCAGCTATAATCATAAGAAAATGCCATCAGATAAAAACAACGACTTTACTCGCTCGTTGAGTGTGGTTTTCATCCTCCGTGCTAAATCTCTTCGCTTGTGTGTGTTCGAAATTTCCCTTAGGTGGTGTTAAGACTGTTTTTAATGCCTGATCAAAAGTTATTGCGAATGTGATAGCCTACTAATACTAATAACAACAGAACACATTACATAATTGTTGTTATTAAATGAAATATCTGGACATTTAACACCTATTTGATAACATCACAGATTGAGCAACTTTGGTGTATAAGACAGCAGGCTAACCGGGTAGCTGTATTATGTGCGAACGATAAAAATCATAATGTGATTTTGTAGAAATTGTAATCAGGTGCTAAAAAAAAAGAGTACCCATTAAAATGTCTTTACATCAAGGGCCCGATCATAGAAACAATGCACAGTACAAGCGCAGCGTTGAGCTTCTTGAATCTGTTCAGTAGTGTTTTGATTGGTGGATTAAAAGCTCACCGCGATTGGCTGAACGGAACGTCCTCCAAAAAAAGATATTTATGAATCTTAACCTGCCAGGAAGGTCTCAAAAATTACCACACACAAATTCAAAGCAGTCCACGCATGTGTGATGATCTGCAAATGCAGATTCAACGATCCACAAATACGTGTAACATCATTCATAAATGTGTGATGAAAATGAATTCAAGATTTTAAATGTATTTAGGTAAGATGCTTTTGTGTGAGCATTTGGGGAAATATGTATGCTTTTACTTCTGTATTTATGAATTGTGTTTTGAATTCACGATTTTTTAAATGTATTATTTTTGAGGCCGATCTGGCTCCATACTGGGCGTGTTGTCAAACGCACAGGTGCGCACAGCCGCTCACCGATAGCTCCGCCCACTCGGGGCACGTCCGATTTTGGACCGAAAACTGCGGAAGCAATATACGAGGAAAAACTGTTTTAGGTTATCAGCGTTTCATCACACCTGTCGAGGTTTGTTTATGACGGTAAGTGGGATATTGTCGTTTTATTGGCTTACAAGTCTGTTTAAACACGACGTGTATTGCGGGCCAGAGTATGTAGGAAATAAAAAGGTATATTTACAGCCAGGTTTCTGTTAATATGACCTCTACATCGTTGAAAAGGCAAAGCAACGTACATTTCTTTAGATTTGCGATACCTGTTTGTTAAAAAAAAGGCCTATATGTTTGTCTCATATATTTGTGTCGAGAGACAACTTTTTGTAATGTATGATCTTATACATTTTTAACAATTTTACTGAATATTATTACTGATATAAAATATTATGAATAAAAAGCTGGTTATGTAAAATTGGAATGTTAGAAAATATATAAAAGGTCTTTTTAAGGAGGTGTAGATGACACGGAGTATAAATGCAAACTACAAATTGCATATCTAAATATTTTTTTTGCTTTATTGTTTTCTTTTCATACTTGTTTTTCAATTCCTTCCTTCCTGTCTGTAACTACAAGGTACAAGTATCTCATATGCCATTTTCTATAGAAATGTTTCTCCCTCTCTTCAGATTCCTCTGTCCTCTTCCTGGTAATTGAAGTAAAGCAACAGAGGAAATGTCTTTGGAAGGAAGCATATGTCATGTAATCTGCTTCTGAAACACGATGGAAATTCCCTGCCTCCTGTGGGACACCAGAGAACAAACTGCTATCTGCCAAAAGTGTAGCCACAAAGACGAGGACAACAACAGAATTTAGGTCAATAGGGATAAAGACACGGTAACCCTGCTGATCCTGCTATAGCTTGATAGAACCAATAGATGCACAGTAGACAGGACAGTAGTAGACTCTCGGGTGTAATTGGATTACGTTACTGTGTGTAATGGGGGAGTGTATGTTGGACCGTCATGGTGAAGATGGTTTTCAAAGTTGTGACGGGTTTGACGATTGGTCCACGTTCAGTTCTGCGGACTGGACAGAACCCCAGCAAGATGGCAGTGGGGTTTCAGACTGGGGTGCAGTCCAGGACAAAACCAGAAAAGAGGAATCATCAACCCTACCTGTGGCAGAAGCAGGAACTTTTGAGTTTCCTGAAAACGTATGCTATGTTGTTTTGTTGTTTTTTTGTCTTGTGGTTGCGTTACTAAATTCACGTACTGCTCTAAAAGTGACCTACTTTCAAAATGTTATGTCTAATGCTGTTTTAATGTAATTTAATATAATGCTGTTGTTTCACAGACTGAAAATGGCGATAAGGGAAATCCCTGGTTTATTTTTAATGACTGCTTTCAAGAGGCAGAGACAGATCCTGTCATGATGGAAATCCCTACATTGTCTCTGCTACAGCAGAGCGTATTAGACAAGCCCTCTCATTCTGCAGCAATATCAAGGTATTAGTCTATGGCTTTTCTACTGTTCATTATGAAATAATGAACCTGGTTGTGGTGAGATGCATTGCATATAGTCAACCAAATTCTTACTGTAGTAGGTGGTTCATTGATCAGCCATCTTAGTAATGGTTTTCTTTGCTCAAATCTATTTTTTTTCATCAAATCAATTATGAATACAATTCATACATACAATTGCCCTAATGAATTATTATTATAATTATTTCTTAGAAAGAAAAGAAAAGAAAGAAAAAAACGGGTCAATTAGTTTTGTTAATGCTTTATAAAAACTTTTTTTTTTTATAATAATGATTATTAATAATTTTTTAGTAGTAGTATTCATACAGATGTTTACACTCAAGGTGATGTATTTAAAGGGTTAGTTCACCCAAAAATTAAAAATCTGTCATTAATTACTCACCCTCGTGTTGTTCCAAACCCGTAAGACCTTCGTTCATCTTCGGAACACAATTTAAGATATTTTTGATGAAATATGAGGGCTCTCTGACCCTCCCATAGACCGCAAGGTAACTACCACATTCAAGGTCCAGAAAAGTACCAAGATGATCGACAAAGTAGTCCGTGTGACATCAGTGGTTCAACTGTAAAGTTACGAAGCTACGAGAATACTGTTTTGCGCAAAGAAAACCAAAATAACGACTTTATTCCATATTTTCATTTTCTACTGCGGCACTTGTGGATGCGCGTTCACGACAGTACCTTGACGCGTGCGTGTGGTGGCGCCGGCGCTGACCAATGACGGCGGATCTGGGTCGGCACCGTCACACGCTATTCTACAAGTATTCTCGTGGCTTTGTAACTTTACAGTTGAACCACTGATGTCACACGGACTACTTTGTCGATCATCTTGGTACTTTTCTGGACCTTGAACGTGGTAGTTACCTTGCTGTCTATGGGAGGGTCAGAGAGCCCTCGGATTTCATCAAAAATATCTTAAATTGTGTTCCGAAGATGAACGAAGGTCTTACGGGTTTGGAACAACACGAGGGTGAGTAATTAATGACAGAATTTTCATTTTTGGGGTGAACTAACCCTTTTAAGTTGTAGGAAAAATATATATTTTTAATTGATTAGCAGAGTTAACAATAACTGAAATAAAATATAAAAATAACAATAAACTAAGAAATAAAAATGAATAAAAAAATAGACATTTAAAATAACTAATAAAAATTACAAAAAAAAGAGAGAAAAAAACTTTTCTTTAGCTTAGTAACTCTTATTCAGCATTGACTCTGAACAGGACAGGGAAAGACTGAAATCTCCAGTATGTGTACATTGTCGATATTTTCCCTGATTGCAATGTGCTCAAACAAATTTGCACATTAAAATGTTGTGGTTTATTATTCAAAAACTGTGCGCAATTCCATTTTAATTGATGGAGTGTCAATGGAGTGTCCATCATTGTCAAAAGTTTCTCTCCTTCTCTCTCTTTCCCATTAGTGAAGCTGCAAATTTCTGGTGTCATCTACAGTCTGGGTCCAAAATTCTCAGACTGTCAGGTCCCAAACCCAAACTACACTCCCATAAAGGACTGCTCAAAACCCTCCAGCTCAGACAGCCTGACGCAAGCGCTCACTCACAGGTGAGTACAGACTGAGTATTACAATTTGGCACATTGGCCCACCTTTTGAGCTACAGACATTGTCACCTCATGTGGCTTGTTGGGGTCACAGGTGTGCTGATATATGTTCTACTTTTGTGGTTCTATTAAAATTAAGAAACTTGTTTTTGTTTTGTTTTTTTAGACCACTACACTTTTAGATCTTGAACTAGAAGATCTGGAAGACCCTCCTGGACCACTTATTCAAACCAAGGTTTGTGTGTGTGCGTGTGTGCTATCAAACTGTGGTCCACATAGGATTCCAAGTTTGAATCAAATGTAATCAGTTACATTACGTATTACATTTTAAATAGGGTAACTTGTAATCTGTAACCTATTACATTTCCAAAGTAGCCTTCCCAACTGTGTGTGTGTAAAAATATGTGTATGTGTATATATATATATATATATATATATATATATATATATATCTTTGTTTTACTACTTTTTTTATTTATTCATGTAATCGACTAATGAACAAACTCATAACAGTGAATTAACTTTTAATATTAATTTGTGGTGAAGTGTTTCTGTTGTCCACTTCAGTGACATTTAATTCGTATTTTCAAGGTTTTAAGGTTTTACTTTTAAGATGTACAGCAGGATGTAGACCGAGGAGGATTTATACACTCCTTAAAGGGATAGAAAATAGCCTGCCCAACTGTGTGTGTGTAAAAATATGTGTATGTGTATATATATATATATATATATATATATATATATCTTTGTTTTACTACTTTTTTTATTTATTCATGTAATCGACTAATGAACAAACTCATAACAGTGAATTAACTTTTAATATTAATTTGTGGTGAAGTGTTTCTGTTGTCCACTTCAGTGACATTTAATTCGTATTTTCAAGGTTTTAAGGTTTTACTTTTAAGATGTACAGCAGGATGTAGACCGAGGAGGATTTATACACTCCTTAAAGGGATAGTTCACCCCAAATTGAAAACTCTCATTATTTACTTGGCCCCATGTATTTCCAACCCTTAATGACTTTTTTTTCTAACATGGAATATAAAAGAAGGTATTTTGAGAAATTTCTCAGTATTGTTTTAGTTATTTTGTAACAAACCTGGTTTGTCATACAGAAAGTCATACAGGTTTTGAATGACATGAGAATGAGTAAATATTTGAGAGTCACTGATTTATAGGAAATGAATTAAATATAAATAAAAATAAGTGGTTTCTCTGAACTCTTAAGCTTTTTTTCTTTTTCTTTTGTCAGCTGATGCCATCATCACAGTGTCAGAATGCACCAGGATTCTTTTATCAGATCTCACGCCAGTGGCTCAGCCAGTACAACATGAACCTGCTGCCCTACCAGAACAAGAAGGATCCTCTGCAATAATCAACATCACATGTACACACACTTACAGTTGCACTGACACACACTACTTCAGAAAAACAAACCTGCAAGGAAAAGTTGTGTCCAAAAATGAACATTTTTATCATCATTTACTCAGCTGATTGTTCCAAGCCCATTGTAAATGCATTGAAATTAGCTACTAGTGCATTCTTCAAAACATCTCAGAAAATCATGCAGGTTTGGAAGTAACCGAAATGATAACCGAATTTAAATTTTTGGGTCCCTTTAAACAAAGTACAAGCTGCCTACTGCCTGCATTCATTCATGTGTATGGAAACAAGCACAGGCAAGTTTTTCCAAGCACTTTCACAAATAAATCCAAGCCTGTTACGAAGCATGCTTGACAAAAGTACTAGTATGCACACTAGCTCAGGATGGAATTCCTAACTTACTTGATGTACACACTTTGCCACTGATCTAACATAAACCGGAGGCTTTTAACATAAGCAGAACAAAACCACTGTAAACCTCAAGTACAGGAAGTTAATGCCGCCATATAGTTATTTATGTATTCCACTGTCTGCTGCTGCTGCCTAAGCTCATGGCTTACTGTTCTTAAATTATTATTGTGAACTGTCATCTGAAATCTTTGAATGTATTTGGTTTATTTATGTTGGAAATATTTAAACAAGAATATATGAATATACAGCTCTAAAAGTCTGTGTCCTGCACTTTAGAGCAGTTATTCAAAATGTAATAAAAAGAGAAGTTCAAAGCTCTGCAACAGCATACCTTTATTTGTTTGTTTGCCCCTTATGGTTTCTAGGGTAAATCCAATTACAATAATAGTAATAATAAAATAAAAAAATCACAGCAAGATCAGTAATAAACAGATTGAAGTATTTATTTATGTCTATCACAATTTTTAATAGACGTGTAAAGTGATCTTAGAACGTTAAGCTAATTGCAGGGTTAATTTTATATCAAGGTCATTTAATTATATCAACATTGTATCCGTTTAAGCCTTTTGCCTGATCTAGTTTGCTGTTAGACACCTTCAGCTTGACTTAAAAATGTAAAGATTGGTATAAATAGCTTTATGTGTCAGTCTTGGGTTATGTGAACAAAAGTTGATTCTGTCAAACCTCCTGTCATTCTGTGTGCTCGCGTTCAAACTAAAAACAGAACTACTCCACATTTTATTACAATCTAGCAAATGGGACGTTCACAGTTTAAGGTCATGGAAAGTTCAAGTTACAAACACAGATTTGAGCATCCGTTCTCATGCTCGGAGTCTTCACCACAACAAAACATTTGAAGCATCAAGACCTTTTCAGAGAGAACTGATTATGTTCATACTTTACTTTTTCATCTGTAATAAGCATGAGCTTATTTTTTTAGTACAGGGCTCTTCATACAGATTTTGTAAAGTATTATTTTTGGAAATATTTTGCTATGATTTGCTTATAGAACATGAAGCGCTGATTAGATGTGGCATAACCACATTTACTCCCCCTTCTTTTATCAAGATGGTGATCATATGTTGTTTGTTTTACAGTTGTAATACCAAGAAGATGTTACTTTTTAAGTAGAGTTATAAATTCATGTAGAGCATGTTGCTAAAAAAAAATGGCATGGTCGTGGTTTTAGTTCTCAGGGAACATAAATAACAGATCAAATATATTGCAAATGCACTGTGAAATGCTTTGGATAAAACTATCTCCCAACTACACGAAATTCAAATAATAAGGTTATTTAGTTTTGTTTTAAATCAGTGTTACATCACTAGAGAAAACTTCAACACCCATAATGCCCTGGGCTTGATCAGACTATCTGTGAGTAGAGGTACAAAAATGCGAAAGATAACACATTGTTCATTTATGTGTACTGACAATGTAATGATACAAAGCTGGTTTAAAATCAGTGAACTTACCCTTTAAATGAGAAAAAAAGCCTTTATCAAGCACATGTGTTAATGCATGTCTAGACTGTCAACTGCAAGCAGAAAGACATCCTTTGTTTCAGCACCTTGCTTAACCTCTAACCATTTCCTCTATACGTTTCTATGGCTTCTTGCATCAATTTTACACCAAACTCAAAAACGTCTCCTCATTTCACACATAGACTTTGCTAAGATATAATATAAAATGGCAAATAGTACTCCTGAAAAGAAAAATGAAAAAAAAAAACGAATTAGTTTAAAATGTTTCTTGTTTTCATAAAGTTCTGTTTGTGTTCTGACAGTTTCATTTGATTTAAAAAAAAAAATAGTTATGTACTTTCAAATGAATCTCTAAAAATGTTTTCCCTTTTTTCATTATTTCCAAAAGACATTTTTTTTTGTTCCAATAAATGTATCTATTTATTAAGAAATATCATGCATTAATTCCATTAAGTAATAAATATTATGTTCAAGTTGCTTCAATAAAAAGGTCAAATTACCTTACATTAAGAGATCTTGACACGACATGAGGGTCTTTTTCTGTTATATAATTTCTTGTTTTATGTTAATTACACTACTTGATTTTGGCAAAAAAAGAAAGAAAAAGGTTTTCATTTCACTTCTAGGTAAAGCATCAGACACATTTACTGTTGTTCTATGAATTTTTGCATGCAAAATCATTCAGTAATTTCAAAAGGAATCCATGCAATCTAGAGTTTTGTGTACGGGGTGAAAAATGTCTCAATGCAGATTTTGCAACAGAACAACCAACAGAAAGCTGCGTGATTTGAGTGACCTCTGTGTGAGATGAGCTTCATGCAGTACATCTACACTATTGACAACAGACAATGGACCTTTTTGAATTTTAAATGCATTCTACAATTAATTAATAGACCTGGTTGTTCATTGGATGGAGGCAGATCTGAATGTGAGCTACAGTCAACTGTACGAAAGAAGAAGGGTTTATGCAGCTGGAATTATTGGAGAAATCTGCCATATGTCACCAGAGGAAAATCGTTTCACTAGAAGGTTATGACATTTCGATTAAAAATTACAAGGGCAAAAAAAAAAAAAGTAAACATTAGCACAATAGCATGCATTTAGAAAATAGGGTTCCTGTAACGCTTTCCAAATGTTTGGAAGATTCATTTTAATAAACGCGTATAACAGAAACAATTCCTATTCAAATGCAAAACATTTAAATGTTGTACAGGCTACAGAAAAAAGGAAAACAAGTAGTTCCCAGTTGAGAAAACGAAAGAAATTATGCAAAAGAAGAAGATCTCGAGCTGCTACGTAACCGTCGCAGGCCTTTGTGGATCCTGACTTTCTTTTTTTTTTGCCAAAATCAAGTCGTGGCCTAATGGTTAGAGAGTCGGACTCATAACCCAAAGGCTGTGGGTTCGAGTCTCGTACCGGCAGGGATTGTAGGTGGGGGGAGTGAATGTACAGCACTCTCTCCCACCTTCAATACCACGACTGAGGTGCCCTTGAGCAAGGCACCAAACCCCCAACTGCTCCCCGGGCACCGCAGCATAAATGGCTGCCCACTGCTCCGGGTGTGTGTTCACGGTTTGTGTGTGTTCACTGCTGTGTGTGTGCACTTAGGATGGGTAAATGCAGAGCACTAATTCCGAGTATGGGTCACCATACTTGGCCACATGTCACGTCACTTATGAACACTGTTGCTGCTAAGCACATAGAAAACAGGGCTTATGGCACTGTTGATGGTAGACAGACCCAGAGAGATTGTATAGGGTGTGTAAATCCTTCTTTCAAAGTCACATTTCCCATTCGAAAAGTGGAAATTGATGGCACGTAGCAAAAGGATCACATGGTACGGCGTGAAGCAGACCAGAAAGAACAAGATGACTGCAAAGGCCAGGTTACGTATTTTGATTTTGGTCTGTGGCTTCAAACCTGTGCTAGTTTGAACTTTAGCAATGATGGCCAAGTTGGTGACTATTAAAATGCACAGCGGGATGAAGAAACCGATGAAGAAGCGGGCATAGTTGAGGCCCGTCGCTTGGCTCGAAGCACCGCTTCTCCTTCATTTTCTCAGACTCGCCCTCTGTCATGCTGAAAACCGGCACGTGTCCCACAGCAATGACCACCACAATCACAACGGTGGTGATCACGGCATGCCTCATCCTTCTCAGACCTCGAGACTCCACGGCGTAGATCACCGCCACAAAACGGTCTGCGGAAACGCAGCACATCAAGAAGATACTGATGTACATGTTGTTGAAGAATACGTACCCCATGAGCTTACAGGACAGAGAGCCCCACTCCCAGCGGTGACCCATGTTGATGTAAATGGCCCAGAGTGGAAGTGTGCCAAGATACATCAGGTCACACACTGACAGGCTGAAGAGGTAGATTCCTAGGACGTTCTTCTGACACACTTCGAGGACCGTGAGGAAGACTGTGATCAGGTTAGCGGGCAGGCCTAATGTGAGGACTGTGCTGTAGAGAACCACAAGTGGAAGTGGGTTTTCTTCATCGTAAGGCGGTTCACAACTGTGTGTGTGGTTTGGGGGACTGATTGTTGTACTGGTTACGTTCATGGTCACTGGGAAGCTGATCCAAAACGATGGGGGGAAAAACATAAATTCAGTTAAACTGGCGTTTCATTTTAAAAAAGCATGGGGTTGATATGAAGAAAAAAAGAAAAAGAAAGGACCATCAAAAACAAATCTAATGGCACCAGAAAAACAAAAACCTCAAGTGCTACTTTAAATACATTTTTAGAAGTATATTGTTCTCATTTCCACTCAGATTACTTCCCACAGCTAAGTCAAATATTATAAAACACGATGTGGGTATTTTCTACTATTCAGAACGTCATATAGCCTAGTCTTACTATGTTGGATAAATTAACTCACCATTATTAGATGGAGATAAGATCACAATTAAGTGCACATCAGGATTCATTTTTTTAATTTTAAGATGAATAAGCTAGTCACTTATTAATTTTAAAGTTTTAAGCTGAATAAGCTAGTCACGTAATCTAAACAAGACAACCACCATGTGGCAAACCCACACTATGATAAATAAAACAGCTTTTATTAGGCTACTGGTGTGACTGGAAACATTTGATCAAAATGTAAACTTTCCATTTTTCCATCCATTTATTCACAAAATCATAAACATGGACATTCATAAAAAACATTCTGCACTGTTGGATACATTTAGTGTAATATCTGTAACACACTTTACAGTACGGTTCCATTTGTTAACATGAGCTAACAATGAAAAATACGTCTAAAGCTTTTATTAATCTTAAAAGTAATCTGTTATTTTCAAAATTTACGAATACATTTTTTTAAGAAGTTGTATCTGTTAATATTAGTAAATAGATCTGAGCCTACCTGAACTAACGTTAACAAAGACTAGTTCATCATACTATAACAAGAGTATATTGCTAGTTAATGTTAGTTAGTGCGTTAACTAACCTTAAGTGTTAACATACAGTGTTGGGGAAAGTTACTTTTAAAAGTAATGCGTTACAATATTGCGTTACTCCATAAAAAAGTAACTAATAACGTTACTTAGTTACTTTTTATGGAAAGTAATGCGTTACGTTACTTTTGCGCTACTTTTTAAATCTGGACCGGGCTTGCTCGTTTGTTTTTAAAATAAAAAAGTTATATTTTTGACAAATATAAAAGCCTTTTCACACCAAAAGTGAAATGAATAAGCCTCAGGCTGAAGGGAAAGTAAATTTACGTCCGTACAGTAGAATGCAGAAGAAGACATTTCAACACACTTCAGCAATAAAAAAAGACACAAATGTTTGTCTAGAGTAATTTGTGCTGATTAGTACGGTTGAACTGGATCATCGAAGGTCAGAAGCAAAAGACATTGGTTAATAGAATGGGATTAAATACATAAAGCATATTTGTGTTGTTTAACATTTAATTATTGCAGGTTTGCGTCATATTCTGAGTTGCATTATTTTTATTCATTTTGAGGAATACTGAATCTGAGTGTTTTGTGTGTGTGTGTGTGTGTGTGTGTGTGAGTGAGATGAATGAATGAATGCATATTCATATTTATTTTAGAACTACAGTAACATCTTCTGATTTCTCTCAACATGGGGACAGGAGAGCTGCCAGTCAATACATTGGAGGAAAAAAAACTAAGTAACTTGCGTTACTTATTTGAAAAAGTAACTCAGATATTCTCTTGTAAATTAAAAAGTAATGCGTTACTTTACTAGTTACTTGAAAAAAGTAATCTGATTACGTAACTCGCGTTACTTAACCCCAACACTGGTAACATATCAGTATTTCTACCTCCATGTTGTATATAATCAAACGAATAAAACCGTTACCTCTTATCCCAGATGATCGCGGTTCATGTCATCAATCTCCGTTCCTATTGGTCAAATCAGCCCAAACTCTCGTTTTCATCCCAGCGGACTTACACGCTCAGCTGTGTATTCATTTATTTACTTATTTATTTGACCCGGTATTTAAACCCCAACACTGGTAACATATTAGTATTTCTACCTCCATGTTGTATATAATCAAACGAATAAAACCGTTACCTCTTATCCCAGATGATCGCGGTTCATGTCATAATCTCCGTTCCTATTGGTCAAATCAGCCCAAACTCTCGTTTTCATCCCAGCGGACTTACACGCTCAGCTGTGTATTCATTTATTTACTTATTTATTTGACCCGGTATTTAAAGTATTTCTGTGGCGTTTACTACGGGTTCATATTTTAATAAGACAGTTTCTCATTATAATAAGGAAAAAAAGTGACTTTCCCCCAGAGGGCGCTGCAGGGCTAAAAATGATAAATGTTTACAGCATATTAAAGCAGCACTATGTAACTTTTTCTGTGTTCAAAATTTGCCAAATGTATATAATGAGCAAGTACATCATGGATTCATCTTCCAAACCGCGTTTTTGTCTTATTCCGAATCGCTACGGTACACTTATAATAAGTACTTCTATTTGGACTATTGTAGGCTGGTCGGGTCGTCGCCTCTGCGGAGGAACACATACCTGCGTGACTCGCCATAGACGTAAACTTAGAGAAGTAGCTCCGGTTGGAATGTTCTTCCGCGGGATGTGTCCAGTTCTGTTTATTAACCGCTAGAGCGCCAAATGTTACATAGTGCTGCTTTAAAATTATGTTATAATTTATTTACTCCTGAAGAAACAGCTTCCCTCGTCACTGTTACTCTTCAGGAACTAACTAACTCATTTTAAAGTGGGAAAGACGCTCACGTCTAAGACTTGATTAGTAATTTGCAGTGTTGGGGGTAAGGCATTATACAAGTAACGCGAGTTACGTAATCAGATTACTTTTTTCAAGTAACTAGGAAAGTAACGCATTACTTTTTAATTTACAAGAGAATATCTGAGTTACTTTTTCAAATAAGTAACGCAAGTTACTTTGTTTTTTTTCCTCCAATTTATTGATTAACAGCTCTCCTGTCCTCATGTTGAGAGAAATCAGAAGATGTTACTGTAGCTCTAAAATAAATATGAATATGCATTAATTCATCTCACTCACACACACACACACAAAAACACTCAGATTCAGTATTCCTCAAAATGAATAAAAATAATGCAACTCAGAATATGACAAAACCTGCAATAATTAAATGTTAAACAACACAAATATGCTTTATGTATTTAATCCCATTCTATTAACCAATGTCTTTTGCTTCTGACCTTCGATGATCCAGTTCAACCGTACTAATAAGCACAAATTACTCTAGACAAACATTTGTGTCTTTGTTTATTGCTGAAGTGTGTTGAAATGTCTTCTTCTGCATTCTACTGTACGGACGTAAATGTACATTCCCTTCAGCCTGAGGCTTATTCATTTCACTTTTGGTGTGAAAAGGCTTTTATATCAGAATGAGTTTTTTTTGTTGTTGCCAAAAATAGAACTTTTTTTTATTTTAAAAACAAACAAGCAAGCCCTGTCCAGATTTTAAAAAGTAGCGCAAAAGCAACGTAACGCATTACGGTCCATAAAAAGTAACCAAGTAACGTAATTAGTTACTTTTTTTATGGAGTAACGCAATATTGTAATGCATTAGTTTTAAAAGTAACTTTCCCCAACACTGTTAATTGATTGGTCATTCTTTATCATTTGAAAGTTAATTTAGTTAATCCCGATCGGTATTGATTACTTGATAAGGAACTCTCTCTCCTAAATTCGCTATTACTTGTTTAATCATAGTTAATTTCCGTATTAGTAGCTGAAGTACTGTGTTGCTGCTCTTTTGTCCTGAATTTATAGGAAAGGACCTCGATTCAATAACTTAAAACTTGTTTTGGTTTTATATAATAGGCTATAACTCACTTCCTTTTATGGCCTTTTATTTATTGTGTTATGCAATGTATGTCTATGCACATGCTTTTACAATTTGCCGACAATCTGTAATTACATTTATTTCAACGTATATTGAACTGCTTATTTTGATCTCAATCCACCAGAAAGACTTTTAAACTGTTGCAAATCCGTCCTAGTTGTGTTGCCGTAGTGACGCTTTACGGCATTTGGATCATGGCGGAGTCGTTGAACGGTGTACAATTGAGCACGGTAATCATTCGGCATTTAACCACTTAACACATCAATTCAGTCGCATGTCATGGTCGCATAAATATGCGCATGCAACATATTATGATTTCAGCAGGGAGAGGTATAAGCTGAATATGCGTGGTACTCCTTTCAATTCTGTTTTATCTGCGATTTAATGATGAACGCATTGGGCAGATCCTAAATGTTGTTTACATGATTGTTAACATCTGACATGTCAACACGAGCAGATTCAACACCCGCTTTAACTGCTTTTTACTCTACAACATCGCGCATTTTATAGCATTTAAGTTGGTACGTTGTGTTTTCTTCAAAGTTACTGCAGATAAAACGAGCAGGTTTTTTTAATGGGAGTTTTCGAGCTGATGCTTTTGAAAGTTGGGTTTGTTTACGGAAACTATCAAATCTTTCATTTTCTTCTTCATTGCCTCTTTGAGAGACACAACATTTCACCAAATGTTCCGCTTTGTGCATTTTTCCCCCTCCTTTTAATGCAACCTCTTTATATATTTTAAGTACAGGCTTACAGCATCAGAATAGGCAGTATTTATTAGCTATTACAGAATCATGTAGTCTTGTATAACCAAATGTAGTGTTTAACTATTAATTGTAACTTTTGTTTCTTCATTTTTTTTCTTCTTACACATTTTTACACTCGCAAGTTTGAATGTGAAAGATGAACAAGATTTGAAACGCTACACTGTAAAAATTACCGTGAATTTAACGGTAAAATACTGTAAAAATGTTACAGTAAAAACCTGTTAAATGGTTAACGGTAAATTCCCCTACTATATACGGTGAAAAACTGTATTGGACATTACATGTATTGGACATTAATTTTACGGTAGTATACCATTTTTGGAAGTGAAAAAGACGTATAAGTTTCAGTGAATAACCATAAATTGACATTCCCAGAATTCCCTGCATTACATTTCAAATTGTATGTTTTTTTGTTGAAATAACTATGTTTCTTCTTAGTTTTTTCTTATCAGTTTTGTATATTACTATTACAGAATCATGTAGTCTTGTATAACCAAATGTAGTGTTTAACTATTAATTGTAACTTTTGTTTCTTCATTTTTTTTCTTCTTACACATTTTTACACTCGCAAGTTTGAATGTGAAAGATGAGCAAGATTTGAAACGCTACACTGTAAAAAATGACCGTGAATTTTACGGTAAAAGACTGTAAAAATGCTACAGTAAAAACCTGTTAAATGGTTAACGGTAAATTCCCCTACTATATACGGTGAAAAACTGTATTGGACATTACATGTATTGGACATTGATTTTACGGTAGTATTTTTACCGTACATTTTACGGGGGTTTTTTTACAGTGTAGTATTGGTGTTAGATTTGCATTTTCAGAGACCTCGCAGAGATGAAAATGTATTGCTCATGATTTTTCAACCTTGAAATGGATCAGGATGTAGATTTCCACATCTCTTTGAAGTGAGATCAGATAGTGACGGTGAAATGTGTGTCCTCCTGTTGATATTCTGAGACTGAACATGAATCTGCTTTCATAACGTAGCCCTGCCATAGTTGCCTGTTTTAATTCCAAATATTGCATTGCATAACATCCTCATTCGTTAGTCAGTTGACATTGGAAATATCCATCAGTTTGAAAATAAGTTTCAGGACTGACCCTTGGTCCTCCTTTGACAGATCTTGCTGCAGACGGTTAGGTTAAACCAATCAGGCAGATGTAGAATTTTTTTTCATCAATATTAAGTTTTATTAGCATGAACAGGTATGCACCATGGTAACAATTATGTTGGTTAGGGGTCAAAGGCCGTTTATTAGATGGTTTCTCTGTGCATTAAGAAGCTCTGAAACTTCTTGGTTTGATTGATGCAAATCCTTACATTGCTCTTAGTGTTAATTTATTTTGTTCATCGATAAACATTAAAAACTCTAAATAGCTTCAGTAGTAGGAGCCTGAAATGTCTTCTAGACCTTGTATGCTGACTAAACATAGCATGCTTTTCACCATCCTCGCAACCTGATTTGGCATTTCCTGTATATTAATGTTTAACCACCAAAATGTACATGCGTAATAGTTGCCCACTTATTTATTCTTTTATTTACAAAAAAAATACATCTTAAAATGCTGTGTTAATATACAATTATGAATGTAAGATTAAAAAAAAAGCTTTAAATAGAAAATATTATAATAAAAAATAATAGTAATTTATATTGAATTATCCCCCCCCCAACCTTTAACAGTAAATTTTCACAAAATAAAATGAATTGGAGGAAGACTGGGGGTAACAATCACTGAAAAGATCAGGCTCAGCATACAGTAGGCTAATTGTTGCCAAAAAAAAAAAATTCTTCAGACTAGTTGCCAGGCTTGATCTTGAAATCCAGGGTTCAAAATGTTTATTTTTATTTCATTTTTATTGGCTGCTTCATGGAAAACCAAACAAAACAGCTTTTGATTAGGTTACTAGTCACTCATTTCAGTGCAGTTGCAATGAATGGGAATGGGAGCTTTCTTACAAACAAAAAGCACCTTAAAAGTAAACACAAATACAAAAATAACTCCATATTTCATATGACCCTTTAATGTATTTGGTTAGTTTGATATATAATTTATGCTCTTTCTCTTTTGCCGCCAGAAATGGCAGGAGGCTTCAAACAGAGGGGCTGCCATACTCAGCTATTTGGGGGAGCAGGTCCCCCTTATTTACTGCCTGGAGGCGGAGCCACAACAAGGGGAGGAGGAGCAAAAGGTTGAGGAACGCCTCCTGTATTAACAGTAAATTTTCACAAAATAAAATGAACTGGAGGAAGACTGGGGGTAACAATCACTGAAAAGATCAGGCTCAGCATACAGTAGGCTAATTGTTGCCAAAAAAAAATGATTCTTCAGACTAGTTGCCAGGCTTGATCTTGAAATCCAGGGTTCAAAATGTTTATTTTTATTTCATTTTTATTGGCTGCTTCATGGAAAACCAAACAAAACAGCAAACAAAGGAATTTTGATTAGGTTACTAGTCACTCATTTCAGTGCAGTTGCAATGAATGGGAACGGGAGCTTTCTTACAAACAAAAAGCACCTTAAAAGTAAACACAAATACAAAAATAACTCCATATTTCATATGACCCTTTAATGCTCTTTCTCTTTTGCCACCAGAAATGGCAGGAGGCTTCAAACAGAGGGGCTGCCATACTCAGCTATTTGGGGGAGCAGGTCCCCCTTATTTACTGCCTGGAGGCGGAGCCACAACAAGGGGAGGAGGAGCAAAAGGTTGAGGAACGCCTCCTGTATTACATGTATAATATATAATCAAATAAATAAGAAACGTAGAACGTTTATTAGCAAAACGAGTAAGAAAGCTTGGAGGCACGGCATACACCTTGCTGTCATATAAAATAAAAAAATGACACAAAGTTTAAATAAAGTAAAAATCGGCAAATAATGTGGAACCAATTAAATAAGAAACGAATGTTTAAAAAAAAAAAAAACGTCCAAAATCACCTTAGATAAATGGCAGAAGTCAACAGGCTTTTCAAAATCCAAAATATTGTCAAACAGGCGCTTTTGCATCTCGTTTCGAGACTAAATCATCCGCGATCGTCTTGTCTGTCTCACCTCACTCTTCTTGTCAGTCAGCTCGACTCACTCTCCTCACTGGAGAAATGAAATCTGATCTGTGATGCGACTGTCGTTTGGCATGCTGCATTGAGCAGCCGCGTTCAGTTTTTAATTGTAGTGTCTGTTCTTTTACTGAACTAAATGTTTATATTTATATAAAAAAATCAAAGTGACGGTGGGGGTCGGTGACACGGTGGGCAAGTGACGTAACCGGTGTTGCGGCTTAACACCGTTATCACCGTCAGCACCGTCTATCGCGGCAAGCCTATTAAGGGCATAATAATTAATCTAAATCCCAGTGTTCCATAAAGAGCAAGGATGTACTGTTATTGGCTGTATTTATGACTGATTTATTTGCTGTATACCTGCATTTTGGCCTGTGAAGCAGATGGTCTGCTTCAGTGTTCTGATAACTCAATAGATCCACCATGATAAAATCAGGCTCCAGATCCACACTCACGCATGGCCACTTTGTCGGAAAACAGCAGGTGCCTTTTTGTGTTTGACACCCTCTGGCGAGATGTAAACCAACACAAAATGAACACGACAGATGGACATTTAAACCAAATCAGCAAGCATCATATCCTGCTCAAAGGGCCTGTCGTGTTGTGTGTTTTGTTATCTGTTTGGTGTTTGTACAGTCAAATTATCTGAGCTCGTTCGGTAGCTAGTTACTATTTTTGGTGTGACTGCATTTTAGGACATGTTACAGATCGTGATCTTCTGGTAGAGTTGAGGAAATTGAGGATATTAAAAAAGTTACTGCAGTAGACCGTTGGGAGCTTGAATTCCTGCCAAATAACAGGCAAATATACATATGAGAATAAACAGCAGTGAGTTCATGTGATGTTGTGTTTTTGTGATCTTCTCTATGCAAGCCTGCTATCCCTAAAATAATAATAATAAAGCCATTTAAAAAAAAATGTGGGGGGGAATTAATAATTCCTTTATAATCCTCACATCATCTGTTGTTTCAGCCTCCTTTTTTTTTTCTTTTTTTTTTTTCTGTGGAACACAAAAGGCGATGTTTAGCAGAATATCCAAGCTGCTCTTTTCCGTATAGTGAAAGTGAATGGGGACTGGAGCTGTCTAGCTCCATAACAAAAATAAAGGTATTATAAAATATATAAAAGTAGTACACATGAGGCGTATAATGTATTCAAAATTTACTGAAGTCATATAAGGGAAAAGACCACAGTTTAAATGATTATTCACTGAAAATCTGCTCATCTGCTGTAGCTCTTTAAATTTAATTCACAAGCACATATACCATCGTTCAAAAGTAAGAGGTCAGTAAAATCTGGTCTTAAAATGTGGGAATCCTGGTCATTGGTTCTCATTTAATCTTCACTGACATCAAACCTAATGCAGACTGCAGTGTATCTTGATGATTCATTTGTGTTATTATTATCATTATCATCAGTTTCAGAGCTCAACAGCTCCAGTCCCCATTTACTTTCATTATATGGAAACGAGCAGCCTGGACATTTCATTAAATATCTCCTTTTGGGTGAATTAAGTAAAATTCTGTGAACAACTAAAGACTAAGTGACTCTCTGTGTCATTTGCTGTTGTGTGTATCATAGGATGAGTGTGTGATGGATCCAGGCCTTCGGGAAAGGGCTCAGATGCTGTTCCACCTGCTGCTGCGGTACACAACAGACATGCTGGTTTGGGAAGATACCAATGAACTATCAGAGGAGCTGAAGCCAAAGTGAGATCTGCAGTTACTAAAGCCGCCAGCTGGAATAAAAAAAAAAAATAGGCTCCACCTTCATTTAAAACCGTTAACGTTGTTTAATGTTGTTTTTAGAGTGATGGAAGACACCTACTTCTGTGTGCTCTACAACGATGAGCATCACTCGTATGACCACGTCATCTACACACTTCAGCGCGCGATTGCCTGTGACCAGAATCAGGCCCAAATCTACACTGCACTTATTGACAAGGAAGTGAGTATTCTGAGCATCAGCTTTCCACATAGTCTTACATGGTCAACATATAGACTTTTCATTCCTTGTGTTATTATGATTTCAGGGGCGGAAAGCAGTGAAGAGAGGTACTCTCCGATCCTGCCAGCAAGCTAAGGACAATATCAGGGTAAACTTACTTGGTACACTCTTCAAACACAAACGTTTTTTTATGCTTTATGTAGGGCGTATGTAGATGACTTATTTAACCATCTTTGTATGTCCTTTGCAGCGTAACTCGGAGCACATTATCCAGAAACCTTTGCGGGTGGAGATTCTTCACTCTGCTGTAATGGCTCATCAGAACTTCGCCCTCAGACTTGGCGCATGGTTCCAAAAGATCATTGGCTACTCAGGTAGTTGATTTGAAGCAGAAAGTGAACCGAGAACTGGTGAAACGGTTCCATTTTTAAAACAATACAGTTTATTTCATGACCATACTAAAATAGCCCTCCTTAATCTCTAGTGCAAACATATTTATAGTCAGATTACCAAATGAATGAACCAGTTTTTTATTACGTATTATTATAATCTATATATATTCCATATAATGAACGTAAATGGGGACTCGAGCTGTTGAACACTGAAACTGATGATGATAATAATAATAACACCAATACTATTAATTATTATTATTAATGAAATTAACAACATAAAAGCGACACAAATGAATCAAGATACACTGCAGTCTGCATTAGGTTTGATGTCTGTGAAAATTACTATGACCAGGATTCCCACATTTTAAGACCAGATTTTACTGACCTCTTACTTTTGAACGATATATGTGCTTGTGAATGAAATTTATAGAGCTACAGCAGATGAGCAGATTTTCAGTGAATAATCATTTAAACTGTGGTCTTTTCCCTTACATGACTTCAGTAAATTTGGAATATATTGTACGCGTCATGTGTACTACTTCTATATATTTTATAATACCTTTATTTTTGTTATGGAGCTAGACAGCTCCAGTCCCCATTCACTTTCACTATATGGAAAAGAGCAGCTTGGAAATTCTGCTAAACATCGCCTTTTGTGTTCCACAGAAATAAAATAGAGGTTTTGAGGTTATGTCCTTGTCATTGGTTCTGTAGTTGGCCTCAGGGAGGTGTTCTGCCAGGTGGCTTTGGAGCCGGCCTCTGACAACAATAAACCCTGCCTGATCAGTCAACTCATGCTGCACGACGCCAAACTATATAAAGGTCAATCTTTCAACCTCTATCATTAAATGATTCACTTTTAATACCCTGCAGACATTTCAAATCCGGTAAGATATTCTTAGTGCTGAATCTAAACCTGATTTCCTGTAACTCCCTCAGGAGCCCGCAAGGTTGTGCACGAGTTAATTTTTAGTAGTTTACTGATGGACACAGAATACAAGAGGCAGTTTGCCATGAAATTCACAGAGGTATAATTTCACAGCTGCATATCATTTCACATATGTACCATTTTAATATGCGAGTATTATTTTAAGTTGTTACATGCTTAGAATGAGTACATTCAGCTGAGATGAGGCCTAATGTGTATACATCATGTTTCAGCTCTACAAGCAACTTCAGGAAGACTTTATCTGTGATGACCATCAAAGGAACATCTCAGTCACAGCCTTGTCTGTGCAAATCTTCACTGTTCCCACTTTGGTACGATGAACAGCTTGCAGACATGACATCAAGCATGTGTCTGTAAAGTCTAGCATCTTTCTGTATCTTTTACTGTATAATCTCAACTAAAATACTTTTGTCAGTCAGATACTGTTCTCTTTAATTATCAGTTCTCTATTTGTAAAAAAAGTACACTTCTTTGTCTGACTTGTAGTACAAGTAATTACAAGAAATGTTGTATGTGTCAGCATTCAGCATGTGAGAATGCAGCACATACTTTATACGTTATGAACTGCATTTGTGCTTTTATATATTTTGTAGCATATGTTTTGACTTTACTGTACTGTAGCTTACTTGTACTTGGTCTTGATGATTTAAAGCATCCCAATCTCTAGCCTTTAAAGAGACAAATCACCCAAAAGGTGAACTTTAAAAGAAAGGGCTTTTTTCTTCTTTCTTTCTTTTTCCCCAATATAATGAAAGTAAATGTGAACTGTGGCTATCAAGATCTAAAATGATAAGTGTCATAAGAAGGAGTCATGATGAATGAATCAGTTCATCTAGTTCACAAAACTGGTGTAAATTTATTGATTCATGAGCCAGATTGATGTTGTTCTTGCATTTGTTTTAGCATCCTTTTTGTGTCCTGAAAGCGTCAGCATCCATTCATTGCAATGGTATGAAAGATAGCCTTAATATATAAAATAATACTAGTAATAATATCTCCTTTTATTTTCCATGAAAGAAAGAGGGTCATACAAATTGGAATGATATGACTTAAGTAAATGATGGGAAGTAACCCTTAAATTCAATTTAAAGGTACATTTAAAGCTTTCCACCTCTCTTTTTTTCCTCAGGCCAGGCAGTTGATAGAGGAGGGCAGCGTCATCAAGGTCATTATAGACACTGTAATGGATATGATGAGGGAACATCTGGACAGCAACCAACGCTTCCACTTCCAGGGCCACAACCCCGACAAGTTCTTCCGGGTTCAAGTTATCTTCCATGACCTCAGGTCTACAAACAACCCTTAAATTATGGAAAATAACTACAGCTCGGTTTATTTTTATCAGTTGTCTCAATGTAGGTTGGTTTTATTTTGATGTTATCAGGTACATTCTAATCAGTAAGCCCTCTGTTTGGACTGAGACGTTGAGGGAGAAGTTCCTTGAAGGTTTACGTGTCTTTCTTCGCTTCTTATGTTGTATGCAGGTAATGCTTTCTCTTGTCCAAAGGATTTTAATTTGGTTTGATCTGTAGCTTAATTGAATCTCCTCCTTTGATGGCAGGGGATGGAGGAGGTGAAGAGGCAGCTTGGTCAGCATGTTGAGGTGGAGCCCGAGTGGGAGGCTGGATTTAGCCTCCAGATGCAGCTACGCCATATTCTCGCCATGTTTCAGGACTGGTGTTCTTCTGACGTGAGTCATGGCTAGTCAGTGATTTTGCTTTTCTGTTTTGCTTTTTGGGGTTAAATACATGCATAAGAAATTGGCGATTATGAAATATTAATAAAACAACATGATAAAATTTGAATACGTAATGTGAATGTATAAAATGAATACACTACTGTTCGGAATATAATCGGAATATATTATAAAATATAACTTTTTCCTGTGATGGCAAAGCTGAATTTTCAGCATCTTTACTGCAGTCTTCAGTGTCACATGAATCTTCAGAAATTATTCTGATATGCTGATTCGATGCTCAAGAAACATTTCCTCTTAAGGGCTGGGCAAAAAAAATTTTTTTTTAACTTTTTTTAAAATGACGTCGATTCGATATCGATTTTCAAAAGCCGCGAATCGATCTTTTCCGGGATTTATTTCAACACATATAAAACAAGATCTGATTAACTTGAATCTTATCATTAGTCTTCTCCACTAGATGTCACCCTTATTTATCTTGTGCGATGTTACAACAGAAAGCCTTTCATTCATTCAGCGCTTATCGTGGCCATACGTGTGATTCGCAATGCTCAGGTGAAATGCTGTAGTTATACTATAAATCTGCGGAAGCATTTGATATAATGCACGCATAAGGCGCCATGATTTCCGCAATGAATGAATGGCGGATGGCGCGGCGCACTTTGTTTACTACACACATACTAAAGCGCGGAGGACGCTCGCGGTGTTTTCAGCTTCTGCCATCTCACTATATGATGATATGAACACCACAAATTAAGAAAATTGTATAGGGCCCTACTATTGTTTAAAAAGGACCCTATACAAAATAAAGAATAGGTTTAAAAGACAGACATGTGGTTCTTAATTTCTTTTTATTGATTCACTATTTGTAAACTGATGTTTACTGTTAATTTTTTAGAAATTTTTTAGAAATATCAATAGCATTTGTATTAAAACTATATTCACTGAATGTAATTTAAAAAAATCGAGAATTGAATCGAATCGAGAGCTTGCGAATCGAAATCGAATCGAATCGGGATATCTAAATCGATACCCAGCCCTAATCGTGACGTAGACATGTGGGGGCGTGTTAGAACGAACTTATAAAGAATATCTCTTTGGATTTGAGACTTTAGTCTTTGCAACTGTACAGATCTTCTTTATGCACCAAGAGCTTGTAACACTCCAAAGAGAAAGGAAAAATTGAAAGCGCGTCATATGACCCCTTTAAAAATGTTTGTGGTGCTTAATATTTTTGAGGAAGCTTTTTTAGGATTTTTTTTACGGATAGAAAAAATCATTTATTATTATTATTATTATTATTTTACCAGTGTAAACATCTTTTCTGTTACTTTTGATCAATTTAATGTATCCTTGATGAATTTTTTCCACTTTTTGGTTGCATATGTTAAATGGACATGAATTGTATTTAGCAAAATTATAAGTATTAGTATATTTATTATATTTCCCCCAACTCCCCACACATGCAAAAAAAATTTAATTAAAATTATAAGGGGACCCTTTATCTGTACAGACCCGGGTTAGTTCTCTGAGTTGCATCTTGATTTCAAAATATCTCAAATTGGGTGTTTTAATCCAATTTTTCCCAAAATCTCTCGAATTGGGTGTTTCACCACACTCTGTTCTAAGATTTGAACATGTATGCAGCAAAATATAGGAAGTTTAAGACCCATTGAACTGGTACAGGTGTAATTTAATAATCGTTTTGAGCTAAATATACCAACAGTCATAACTACATTTGGAAATCTGCAAATTGACTAAAATATGACAAGGTCCAAGCCAATCACAACCAAATGCCCACTAAACTCAGTGTACTGTATGTAGTCTATGTATCAGTCTTTCTAGATTTTGACATTGCAATGCAATCTGGTAACTCACACTTTACTCATATACTCATAATTTATTAAATAATGTAAAAAATAAAAATAGAAAATTATGTCTTGTTTCCCGAAACAAGATGGTCTTGTTTCAAATAAACATTTATTATGCTGTAGTTATACAATTTTGTGAGGTTTTGTACGGAAAATAAAGCTAAAAACTCACGTGTCCACCCTCTGGCCCGTTTCTTGTGTGTCACTGGCTGCAAAGTACAACATGAAACCGCAGTGATGATACTTCGTAGTGAATTCAAACATCCATGAGTGGAGCGTTTTCATTTGAATGAATGGGATGTGACACCACATGGCAAACTCCAGTGTGAATGCTGTGATCTGTTAGTTTAATGGGCGTTGAAATGAAAACGTACTACTCGCATAAGTCAAACGATTCTACTTGGTTATAAGAAACTCAATGCTAAAACAGCATGTGCTTTATTTCCCGACATTGTTTTATAATCAGAAAACAATGTTCCCAAAATAAAGTAAAACATGTTCCCAAAAAAAAGTAAAAATCAACTTCAGGTTACAGAAAGTCTCTGTGTGATGCTGAGACAAAGCACTTAAATAGACCAGTCTACTTTAAAGCCATTACTGTTGCTTGTCTGATTAGCTTACAAATCTTGTTTATCCACTGGTTAATGAATGACCTGGAAATGTGACACTGTTTGGATGTGTGTGTGTGTGTGTTGTGTTATTTACCCACAGGAGAGGGTTCTGTTGTTGGCCTTTCAGGAGTGTCACAGAGCTCTAATGTCCTGCACCAACCAGCCCTTCTGCAGCGAGCCAACAGACAGCTACATGTGCAAGCAGATCCTCCACGCACGGCCGTATAAAGTCTCCCAGGAGCCCGTCTCCATCCATCTGCCCATCTCCAGACTCCTGGCCGGTTAGCAGAATTGTTGAATTTCTGTATCAGAAGTCATACTTTTGAGGTTTTCTTGCTGGTGACGTTTTAAAATGACATGTTACATGGTAATATGAAAATGTTTTACTTTTTTCAACATTTTTCCCCCTAACAATCTTCTCTTTTTTTCAAAATTGAACATGCCAACTAGCATTTTTGAAAGCAACTGTTTTTAAGAATTATTTGATGAAAAAAAGTTCAACAGCATTTATTTGAAATAGAAATATTCTGTAGCGGCTTTTTGTAAAATCTTTGTTAAAACCCTTTACTGTTACTTTTAATCAGTTTAATGCAGCCTTGAATAGAAGTATTAATTTATTTCAAAACAAACAAAAAATAATAATCTAACAGAACCCAGAATGTTGAATGGTTGTGTATTTCTGTAAATGTTTTGAACTCCTGAAAGTGTACCAATTATTGTTTCGTTTTTTTTGGTCACTGCAATACTCTGTATCTGTTATTTTAAACCCAGTCTGTATCTGATCTCAGGTTTATATGTGCTGTTGTGCCAGTCTGGAGCAATCCAATACCTCCCTGACTTTGTGGATACTGTGAGTATATCATTAATTAATAAAATGAATCTGTAGCATTTGAATGTCTAGCACTATGGGTTACAGGTGTGTATTTGTATGTGTTTCAGGTGCAGCTGAACTTCACTGAGCTGGCGGAGCAGCCTCTGCGCTGTGTTGTGCTGGCGGCTCAGGTGTGTGCTGACATGTGGCGCAGAAACGGCCTGTCGCTCATCAGCCAGGTGAGAGTGCCACCAATTCCACAGTTTTTACAATTTGTTTAAAAAAATCACTAAAACACAAAAGTAGAGAATATTTGCAAATGCAATAATTCGTAATTCTCTGAAAAACCTGAATGTTCTAAATCTGAACATGAAAAAAGTCTCCAAATGAACTCTTGGATCATCAACTGATATTTCAAACACATCCATTATTTATTTTCAACATCTTGTAACAACTGTATATGGCGTGAAATGGCTTTTAATGGTTATTGGGGCTGTCTAAATTGATTGATTTATTTTGTGAAAGTATGTATGAACGTATGTATTGTATATTGGAGGGGTGAAAAGGAAAAAAAAAAAACATAACTATGTAACAGAATTGAAATGCGCAAATATCCATGTTGTGTTGCATCATGAACATATTCTAACTTTTGCTGATATTTGCCTCTGTTAGGTGTATTACTATCAGGATCTTAAGTGCAGGGATGAAATGTTTGATAAGGATATTATCATGTTGCAGGTATGTTCTTAAAACCATAAATGTATATGAAATATAAAAATAATAATATAAAATAAATTTTATAATTGCGAAATTAAAAATACTTTAATTCAGTTAATGACATTTTCTGACCAACCACAGATTGCTGCTTCCAAAATGGACCCCAATCATTTCCTCATGCTTGTTCTTCAGAGATTTGAACTTTTTGATATTTTTAATGGCAACTCCTCCAGTAAAGATCAGGTGAGTAAGAGAGGATTAAGTGAGATCAAGTGGAATATGTAGTTTCAGCTTCTCCAAAACTGATCAATACACGCTTAATAAACAAATAATTTATATTATATTATTGAAATAATAAATCATTTATTTATTCTTTGTCATTGATTATGGTTGATTTTGATTGGTTTCTGTGCCCTTTTTCATCACACAGGAGGTACTGAAACAGTGGAATAGGTTAACAGAAGAGATGCTTTACCTGATTATCATCATTGTAGGCAAGTTCTCACATTGACCTTTTATGTGAAAGTCTTTGTCTTGCTGCCTTTAGTTGATGTGTTATAAGTGGTTTTATGTAAGTGAGTTGACTGGAGACACTGCCTTTGTTTTGCCTCTGATATATATATATATATTTTGCATGTGAAATACGCCAATCTGAATCTATATGCACAGCTGCCAAATTTTCTCTGTATTGTAATCATTATGATCACACTTGTAATAATCGCTCTAATGAGCTTCTGCCTGAAATTAATTCATGTTAGCTAACTGTATGATTCCATTATCTTGAACTATTAATTTGTGAAATGAACATTACTTGGACACATTCACTTCTGATAGCAGATCACTGTCTATTGTAATGTAGACACATGCATTTTCTGTAAAGCTGCTTTTAAACAATGTGTATTGTGAAAAGCACTATACAAATAAATTTGAATTGAATTGAAATGAAATATGCAGGTGAACGGTATGTACCTGGAATCAGTCATGTGACTAACGAGGATGTGACTATGAGGGAGGTCATCCATCTGCTTTGTATTCAAGCCATGGCTCATAGCAGCCTGGTTAAAAGCCTGCCTGAAAATGTAAGACATTTATTAATGCTTTTGTTTTGTTTTGATTCATTCATTTAGCATTTAGTAAATTGTGGCAGCCAGAGATTTATGTACAGTAACTGACCAGTTTAATTACATTATCTGAATGTGTGTAAATGAACTATAAACATTCTGTTTTCTAACCTCATGAACAGTTTTTTTTTTTAATTGCATCACAGGAAAGCCATGAAACATGGCTTGAAACGGTCATCTCTAAGGTTGCTGTTTTCAAGTAAGTGCATTTCACTAAATGTTTAGATGTTTATACCAGTTATCACACAATAATTACACAGTCTATGCAATGCGACATGTACTCCAAAGTCTTTATTAAATGTTGTTTAGGAAACCAGGAGTGTCAGGCCATGGCTTGTATGAACTGAAGAAGGAATGTCTGAAAGAGTTTAACCCCTTCTTCTATCATTACTCCAGACCTCAACATAGTAAGGTACATGGTGCACCCATTGTCTCACTTATCTCATTCTCATTAATATACATGTTAGTCTTTAAACGGAAGGAAATGTTTATTTGTACATATTAGGCAGAAGAGGCTCAGAAGAAGAGGAGGACCCAAGAGGGCAGTGATAAAGGTATGCCGATCTGTACTGATGTTTTATATAAGTTGCTTTGGAGTCGCTGCACATTTCAAATGATAAAAAAGCATGACTTATATTCTGGAAAATACGGTAAATGCTAAACAAAAATGTAATATTGTGATTTTGAATACATAAAATAATAAAAATAATTTGTTGCAGTTAAATGATAATTATATATGATAATCTGTTGCTTTATAGCTTTTACAGTTGTGGATTTTTGCACTGGAATGCTGTATTGATCAATTAAAAGCCAGGGCTAGAGCTGCCCATTTTATGAATTTTAAATAAGAATGTTTGACAAAAAATTATGTTAATACACGGGGTGTGATATCTGCTGTTCCTCTATTTTAGCCCTCCGTCCCCCAGTGCCCCCTCCCTTCTGTCCAGGATTCTCAAACATAGTGTATCTGCTCTGCTGTGACATCTTCATCCATATTCTGAGGAGAATCTTCCAAAAAGCAGTGGAGGACCGTTCCAGCCGATGGACTGAACCCATGATCCAGAGGGTATGGCTCTTACTGCTCCACACCATTTCCCTTAGTTCTTGTTCTGTTTCAGTAACATGAATGTAGCAATTTTTGAAATGTAAATAATTATTGCATTTGTATTTCTGAGAACATTATTGTATCCCATGGAATATCATTAGCTGTTTCTATTTTCATGGTAAGTTAGTTTGATGAAATGTGATTTTTAACATGCGTGTATGACTTTAGGCACTGCACCTTGTAGGCCAGGCTCTACTGGAGGAAAAAACACAGTTGGAAAGCAACAGTACTGAGGAAGTGTCTTTTGACTTTAGTCTGAAAGCTCAAAGTAAGATCTCACCCTTTATTTTGAACTATCATTAACACAAAAGCTAGCATGATGCTTTGCATCTTTACATAGACAGCTGTCTTGTAAAGCAGTATCCTAACTGCAGTAGTTGTTCTACTTTAACCCTTAAATAAGGGATGCACCGATACTGTTATCGGTATCGGGCCCGATACTGAGCTCCTGTGCTCGTACTCGTTAAAATGCCCCCGATACCAAACGCCGATACCACACAGCATGCGATAAGTGCCGTATTCAGACAAAGAAACACCGACAACAGAACAACAGACAGCAGAATGGTTATTAGAGATTAAGGATGTCTAGGAAGTATATGAATGTCTACGGTAGGGAGAGAGAGATAGAGAGCGCAATTCTGTTGTGTGATCTTTGATGTTCACTCACTTAGCACATGCATCATTTGGATTAAAACTAAACCGTAAAAATAAGACCATTTATAGGGGCATTGACTATAAACATAATTTATTTTCAACCTTAGGCATACACGACTTTCTGGCGAAAGTTAATGTAGCAGCCTGTGTGAAATGCGCTAGGCTGTACTACGTGTCCCTCTCATTCTGCACCAGTACAAATATGTGCACGCGTTGCGCGTGTTTTGCTTGCTTGAGTGTTTCTGCATTATATGAGTGGCTTTGGAATATAAATCGCAGCGCGTTTCAGATGAAAAAAAAAACACGACTTCTATTTCTGAAAATATCACAGTTAGGAGAGCATTATTACAGCAAAGTGCGTTATTACAGTACTAAGCCGCTGCAATGGAGCAGCTTTAATGCTATTAAATGAAAGATGATGTACCATAGAGCAAAAAAAAAAGAACAGTGAAAGTAACAAAAACTTGTAAAATACATTGTAATGGGCATAATTAAGTGTGAAAATAACCGAAGGATATACAGTCAAACCAAAAATTATACAGAGACCAGATATAATTTGACTTTTTTTTTTTTTTTACTAGTGGGTGCAGGACACATATAGTTCATTTATGTAAGTGAGGTTAGCTAAATAAAGTAAACTGTGACAAATTATACCCAAAACTTCTTCACACAGTGGACCCAAAATTATTCAGACCGAGTCTGGGAAAAAAATGAAGTTCAGGTTTGCATGAACCTGGATGACAGCATGCCCAGGAGACTATATGCTGTCATTAAGGCTAAGGGTTGCCCGACTAAGTATTGATAGTTGTGTACATATTGTCATACTAACAGCTGTCTGAATAATTTTTGCTTTATTGTAATCCATTACATACCTTTTTTTTTATTTTATTTTTTTATTGAGAACAAGGAACAAAAGGTCATCATGGGCGTTACAAAGTCAAGACAATACAATTTCCATACATTCTTTGGAGTATAGTATTACACTTATCCTCAATGGTGTGTGTACACAATCCATTTATCTTAGTACTTAATACATTTTTCCAAATTAAGTCGAACAGTAAATGTAAGTCTCTCCATCGAGTATGTTTCGTTTACAATACCCAACCGCTGGTCCCTTGTTGGAGGGTCAACCTGAAACCATTTACATGTTATGGCTTTCCTACTGCTACTTATTTTTAATAAGTATTTGTCACTGTCTAGAACTGTTTTAGGAATTTTTACTAGGTACAGCGTAATGAATGAAAAATCCAACTCCTCCCCTAATATTTTCCCAATTTCAGCTGCCACTTCATGCCAGTAAGACTGTAGTTTTGAACACGCCCAGAAAATATGAAAATGATTAGCCATTGAGGTTCCACATTGCCTCCAACAAAGGCCCAGACTCTGTTCATCTGTGCGTATTGCTGTTAATTTGGGAGTTATAAAGAATCTTATTAAATTCTTCCATCCAAACTCCCGCCAAGATCTTGAGTTTGTTGTGTTTGCCTGTGTAACACACATATCTACCCAGTCTTCCTCTGCTATTTGAGAGTCTGATTCTTTCTCCCATTTTTGTTTGACATAGTTTGACGTATGTTTTTTACTGGTTTGTATATGTCCATATAATTTCGATACCAACTTCTTATTGTCTTATTTTGAATATGCATTAATAAATGTTGTAATCAGATTTTCATCGCTCGATACTATACATTTTACTTTTTTATTAAAGTAATCCCTAACTTGCAAATATCTATAAAAATCCTGCTTTTCCAATCCAAATGTGTCTGACATGTCCTGGAAGCTCAATACATTTCCCTTAGAAGTGACTGAGCAATAAGATGTAATTCCTCTCCAGATGTTTATGTTTGTCTTCTTTAATAATAATCCCCTTTATCTCTGGATCCTCTCTTATTGCTTGAGCCAGAGGTTCAATAAATAATGCAAAAAGAGAGGGACTTAGGGGACATCCTTGACGTGTCCCTCTTTCCAGGCTAATTGTTTTAGATAAATGTCCATTGATCTTAATCCTGGCTGTCGGTGAGGAGTATAACATTTTAATATACTTAATAAATGTATCATTAAAGCCGAATCTTGCCAGTACCTGATACAAATAATCCCATTCAACAGAGTCGAATGCTTTCTCAGCATCTAGACTCAACAAGACCGTGCTTATATTCTCTGTCATAATGTAGCTCATTATTTGTAGCGCTCTCCTTAAGTTATCCCGTGTTTGTCTATTTTGTATAAATCCAGTTTGATCTAGATCTACCAGCTCAGGAATAATGCCCTCCAGTCTCTTAGATAAGATAGAAGCAAATAATTTATAGTCCACATTTAAGACCGATATCGGTCTATATGAGCTACAATCATTCGCATCCTTCCCCTCCTTTGGGATGACCGAAATAACTGCTTCTTTCCAAGATTGTGGGATTTCCCCACCTCTCAGTATATAATTAAAGCAGTTAAGCAGTATGGGTGTTATTTGGGCTTTGAACACCTTATAAAATTCAGACGGATAACCGTCTGTTCCTGGTGCTTTATTCACTTTCAGCTTTGATATTGCACTAGTTGTTCCAACGTTATTTCAGCCATTAGTTCTTTATTCAGTTTTTCCCCTAGTGACGGTAGGTCCAGTTAATCTAAATAACTTTTTAAGGTTAGGTTATCTGCCCGGGCTGGTTGGGTATATAGATCTTTGTAAAATAATTCAAAAGATTCCTGAATATCCTTTAATTTGTTACATACTTTCTGTGTTTCAGGATTCTTAATTCTATATATTAGATTTTTTGCCTGCTGTTTTCGTATCCTCCATGATAATAGTTTAATTGCTTTAGGGCCTGTTTCGTAATACCTTTGTTTGGCAAATTTGATTCGTCTTTCTATTTCCTCATCGTATATACCATTCAACTCTTGTTTTAGTTTATTTAATTGGGCCAATATTTGTGGGTCTTTCTGTTTAGCGTGCTCGATCTCCAGTTTTTTTCATTTCCCCTTGTAGATTTAATAATCTTTTCTGTTTTTCTTTTTTGCGGGAGCTGGTAAGAGCGATAATTCTACCACGAATTACCGCCTTGGCGGCATCCCACAGAGTACTTGGAGATACTTCACCATTATCGTTACTTTGGAAATATAATTTGAATTCATTCTGGATCTGCTTCTGAATCATTAGATCATTCAATATACTTGTATTTAGTTTCCAAATTGTATCTTTCTTTTGATTTTCTAAAAGTAGGGTGAGGTATACCCCGGCATGGTCAGATACATCCTTAATCCCTATGTAACAATTTTGAATTCTATGTCTGTCTGAGTTATTCATAAATATATAATCAATTCTTTAGTATACAGAGTGGCAGGCTGAGCAAAAAGTAAATTGCTTTTCCATTGGATGAAACTCTCTCCATATATCGAACATACCCAATTCTTTAAGAAACCTTTGAAACATTTTAGCATTTGGACTCTTCGTTTTTGGAGGGATTAGTTGTATCTAGCCTGGGTTGAAGTTGGACATTTAAGTCCCCACCAAATATGAGAATTCCGTGCGATTCTGTAGCTATTAAATTGAATATTTTCTTGAAAAATCTTTTGGTGCTTCCTGACGGACCATAAACATTGAACAACGTTACTTCTTTATCATCTAGTTTGCCCCTTACTAAAATATATCTACCCTCTTTGTCTTTAATTTCAGATATACATGTAAAATGTATCGTATTAGGAATCAAAATAGCGACTCCTCTCCTACGTCCAGATTTATGAGATGAGTAGTAAGTATTCTGGAAGCCCAATTTCTTCAATTTCTCATGTTCCGATGAGGGTAAATGAGTCTCCTGCCAATAAATTACCTGTATTCTTTCTCGTTTCATTTTAGCAATAATTGTGCTCCTCTTAATCGGATTATGTAACCCATTGACATTAAGCGTAATTACCTTATATTCCTGACACTGCATTTATTAGTTTCAAACCACGTAGCTTTTTGTAACATTTTCCATGACAACCCTCTAAGCATCATAAACCACACATAAACATTCTTAACATGAAAAAAAAAAACTAACAAAAAACACCAGACTTCCAAGTCCCAGGTTTAGCATAAGACCTTCCATTTGAGAGGAAATCCTCGCGTCCATCAAGGGCCTCTCTTCAGTGCAAAAGAAAACACTCCCAAGTGTTTGATGCACTAATAGTTTCTAAACTATCTCCGCTTCATCGGTTTCAAGATTCAACTTTAATAGGCTCAGAGGGAAAAATTAATAATAAAATATTAATTAACAAGTAGGAGCTAAAATTTACCAGATATTATCTCCTTTACCTAATTACCATGACATCGACTACATTCTCTCATCAAATAGACACATTACAAAATTCGTTACGGCGACATTTACCATAATAAGCATTCGCTATATCCATGTTATCCCCAATCTTAAAGTCCATGTTTATATTATCAGACCTCAAACTTTTTTATCGTGGAGGATTAAGACTCCCGTCACTTATCCCACGATCTCGTTATTAGGGTCAAACGCACTTTAATTTCACTTAACAGTAGTCGAAGATCCCGTCCTGACATGTTGGAAACTCTGTATCTTTTCCCTTATCCGATCTTGATCCACTGTTGTACGGCGTCGATCTGCACCTGCCCTCTTCCACGTTGCCGTGCTCTGCTGTTTCCAGGATGTGGAGTCCAGGTCTTTGACATTTTCCACAGAAAATACTCTTCTCTTCAAGTCTTTAGCTGCATCAGCCGCATTCTCGTAGATTTTAGTGCCGTTTTCAAAGAACACTTTTAGTTTGGCCGGGTGTGGGGTTTGAAACCGAATTCCTTTGGTTTTGAGCTCCTTCAGTATCCCCGCTTAGGCCTTTCTGCTCCTTAAAATCTCAGAGGGGTAGTCGTGGTCGAAATAAATCCTCTTTCCTTCAAATCCTTTTTTCTCCACGCTGTATGCAGCACCTGCTCTTTCACTCTGTGCTCTAAAAAACAGAACACCAGTGATCTGGGTGGTGAGTTGCGGGGGGGCTTTGGACCGAGCGCTCTATGACAGCGCCGTATACCCAGCTCTGTGTCCGGTAGTGGTAGTCCCAGCTCCAAATTTATAAAACTCATCACAAACTCTAGTAGATCACTACCCTCTGAGCCTTCCGGAATTCCATATATAGGTTATTCCGTCTCGAGCAAGCTTCCAAATCGATTAACTTTTCTTGCATCTCCCTTTGTTTCTCCAACACCTCGCAGTAGTGCGTCACTTGCCGCTCCGTTCCATTCCTCGATATCGGCTATCCGTTGTTCTACTTCATTCACTCTGACTGTGGTAGCTTGTAGTTCGCTTGAAAGGTCTTTAAATTTCTGGTTAATTTCTTCTCTGAACTCGTTCAGCTCCTTCCGCATGTCTTCCCGAAGAGCAAGACGAAATTCGTCCATGTCGTTCTTGAAATCCACTCTGAACACTTTAATCTCGTCTCGAAAGTTCCTTATGCCAGAGTTAGCTGCTGCTTCATTAGCCTTCCCCCACTCGCCATCTTTTCCGTGGCCCTCTTCACCGTCGTCGATGTCTTCGATTATTTCTCCTTTTTCGCACTTCGAGCCTGTTTTACTTTTACCCCTTTTTTGCTTCTCCCCTTCCATATTCACTTTCCATATACATTCAACTTTCTAAATGTAATTTCTGAGGGGATTTGAATCGAGAGATTCTTCCAAGCAGCCATCTTTCAACACCACACCGGAAGTCTACATACCTTTCTATCAAAGTTATCTTGCATTATCAAGCTGAATTTGTTCCGACACCGTTTAACTCTGAGTTCTTGTCATATTTTATTACCATTTTCTAAACTATAGCGAATAAACTGTGATAATGTGAGAAAAGTTGAAGGTGTCTGAATACATTTTGGTTTGACTATCTATTTGATAAATGAAGTTAGTCAACTAACATTATACATACTCTTTTTGATTCTGTACCCAATATTTAAAAAATGTACAAATGCAATAAAAATATCGGCATCGGTACTCTGTACTCTGTATTGGCAAGTACAAAAAAATAAAAGTATTGGTATCGGGCAAGTACTGGAAAAAGTGGTATTGGTGCATCCCTACCTTAAATGCATACCTCGGGTCTTTAGTGACCCAGAACATCATTCTCTACCCTCTCCCACCTTCATTTTTTTTTAAGTTAGACATCAACTTTCTTAGTATTCCTCAATCTATTAATTATAAACAATATAACAAGAAAAAAAATAGTAAAATATAAAAGAATGCCAGTTTTCTGATAAATGTTTTGTAAAAAGTGTATAGGGTCGCTAGAGACCCGAGGTATGTAAATGTGTAAGTATTTTTTCCTGCGCAAATATATTTACATATCTGATTACTCAATATGTGCAATAGATCTTTTTTCCTCAAGGTGGCACTGTTTATGATGATGTGACGTTTCACTCATAATTACCGCAGGCATAAAACAAACTAATATCATCAGCAAAAATTGAAGAGGTTTGAATGGCTTTACTGCAGAGCAATTACTATACACAATGAAATATAAATGTCACTGTCATTTGATGCTGGATGTGGTGAATAAGCTGCCAGTGATCAAAATATTGAATATGAAGTAATTGAAAACGATAGTTTTGAGAATATGGCTGAGATCGTAAATATGAGCCAGATGCTGAATGTACTGTGGAAGTGCGCTCTGACGATGACAGCGATGGTAAAATCATCTGCTCACATTGAACCCTTTTAAGTTTCAAAAGGTAACAAAATATGGTTTATTTTATTCTTCTGTAATTGTTCTTAAAATATCAAGAGAGTTTTTTGCTATTGCAGCAGTTAGAGATCCATCCGCGCTGTATATATAGTTCCGGGTCGCTAAAGACCCGAATATGTAATAATGATTGGCGAAACATCCATGCATTTAAGGGTTAAACATTTCAAAGGCAGTAACTCTAGTTTGTGTTTAAGCTATGCTGCTCAATACACCAATAAGTATAAAAAAGGGCACACACAAATGTTGTATAAAACAGGGCGTGTTTACTAGGTCGATCAGAATTCTGTATGCAAAAGTTGTGGTTTACGATAGAAGGCATGTGAAATGTGCAGTGTTGGGAGGCTTCAGGAATGTGGTTGGGAACTACTGTGTTAGGAGTTCATATTTTCAGTTCATATTCAGCATTTTATAGGCAATCAGCAGCCATTGACATGACAAATAAGTTTATTTTGCATTCTTAAATATGTGATAAAATAATATTGTAAAGCCAACTCTACAGTTGTGGAGTAAAATTCACTTTAAAGATTCACTTTTCATTCATGAAGATGACATGAAAAAATGTGCAAAAAATGTGTCAAAAAATGACTTTTAAGATGAAAATGACTTTAACTAAGTGCTGGATTTTCAAAAGTATGTGAAATATGTAAAGTTAACGGCATAGACTTAAAATACATCCAAGAGTTTTACACACTGGTCTGTTATTGTGGGGACGTTTCCACGCCCCTAAACATGACGCGGGACAAAACGAAATGTGATTGGTTGCTTTACCAGTCATATGGCCTCTTGGGCGGTCCTTGGCCATTCAAAGCAGCCACTGATTTGTGAGTAGTCGTAGTAGACAATCGCTTGAGGTCAAATGAGGCAAGCAGAGTATTGAATTCAGCAGCCTGGGTTTTTATAGGTGGATGTTGAAGTCACCGAGTAGTACCAGATGAGTACCCTCCTCAGGGAAGTTTGAGATTAACACATCTAACTCCTCCAAGAAGTTACCCAGTTGACCTGGGGGATGATCAACAACTACAGAGGGGATTTTAACAGAGTGGGTAATAGTGATTTGTGTGTGATTCAAATGAACTGTTGCCTGTTAGAGATGGTAAAGGATCAAATTTCCATTCATTTGAGATAACCAGACCAGTACCTCTGGGATAACTTGAAATTAGTGGAGAAGACCACAGGAGTACCAGTGTCCTCAGGTTTGATCCAGGTCTCAGTTAGGGCCATGAGGTTGAGACTTGACTGAGTAGCAATAGATGAAATAAAGTCTGCTTTGTTTACTGTCTATTCCTATTGGTCTCTGGAACTGCCAGTCTGCAGTAAAGTAGTAGAGGACATAGGGACAACGTACAGAGCGTGATTTACAAGTGTTCGTATAATACAGAAACTTTTATTTGTATTATTTATTTATTTGATTTGGGATTTGTTTTAAAATTTCAAGTTGGTATATTGTTTGACATTTTCAATTTCACAAAGTAATGTGCAGCCTTTTGGTCTGAGAAATAACAAAAATACCTTTTTTTAAAATATGTCTTAAATCTCATTTTGTTAAAAAAGAAATTGTGAGAAACTTGTATTGTGAAATCAGTATCGTGAATCATATCACATCGTGAGTTGAGTGAATCGTTGCATCCCTATATGCTACTAGTTTTTGCTGTGGTATCGAAGTAGTAAATTGTTCTTTAAATAATAAGTGTTACTTTAGTAACAAACAACCATATTTTTCTTGCTCATGTGAAAAATGATCCGATCTGTGACTCAAAATGTGATATGATAATGTAATCTAATCTGAACGATTTGTGATCCATTGCACCCCTACTCTCTTGTTATTTGAAGCAAAAATACAATATCTTTTATTCAGGCTAGTTTAATTCATTTTTGGGCTACCAAAATCTGAAGAATGCCTGCCCGAAGGGCTACCAGGGATTTTGAAATTTTGCGAGCCCTGTAATAGTAAAGATTTGAAAGCACATAGTGAGTACAATTGACTAAAACAAGGAGATGAGAACAGGTTGTACAAAAAGTAAAGGGGAAAAAGCAGTACTCGAGTGTCTTGTTGGTGTACTTGCTCGGTGCAGGTAGATTTGCTGGACTTTACACTCGATGGTCTTCACACGAGGGCTGCCGTGATATTCTAACCAATTATACACTCACCTCGTTCTTGAATTCAGCAGGTCACGCCTTACTACTTAGCAAACTGAAACTGAAAAACCATGCAATACGCACTAGAACAAATGCGACTTCAGCACACGTTTACCAAGGTAAATACAGTAAGCAAAGTAAAGTTTCCTACCAATGACAACCACTCTAAAATATGAGAAAAGAAGCAAAACACTTACAAGCTGCTGTCCTCTTCTGTTCTGTAAGTTTAATTGCAGCTTTTGCACTAAGCCATATCGCAGTTTTTTTTTTTTAATTTTTTTTATTGTAATATATATTATGCAGCCCTGCTATTAATGCTTTGCTGTTTGTTAGTTGCTGATAGATACAGATATGTTTGTACTTTCAGAAACTGGTTCTGAACATGGCAAATCTTTGTTCCACTTCCTGACCAAAATAAAGTCGTTACCTTCTTTGAATTCTCAGAATGACATGATCACATGGAACTTACAGGTATGACGGTGATGATTTGATGTGTATTTGATTGTTTAATTCATTGATTTGATATTTAAGATCTATATGTCTCTCCTGCAAGATGTTTGAGGTGGTGAAGTGTCTTCGGGAGAAATCCGGTCCGGTAACTTCATTTTCTGTGGATCACAGCAAGTTGGAGGAGGTAATGCGATTCAAACACTGAGGGTCTCAGTCATAATGCTTCCATGTCTTTGAGGTGCTTAAAGTGTCGTCCCTGCTCAGAGTTTTCAGGATAAGGAGAAAGCCGAGCGGAAGAGGAAGGCTGAGGCTGCTAAAGCCCACAGGCAGAAGATCATGGCTCAGATGTCGACCATGCAGAAGAACTTCATAGAGTCCAACAAGATGCTTTATGACAACGTGCCTGAGAGCTTGAGTCAGAGCGACACCGCTGCGTCTGTGGAGAGGTCACCACTTTCTTCTGTTTTTTACTTTTCTTTCTTTTTGTGACTTTTTTGTTCTTTCAGTCTTTCTCTTTTGTTTTTAGTTTCTTTCACTTTTTCACTGCTTTTCATTCTTTTGCTCTTTCACTTATTTTTTGCATTTATTCATTATTGTACTTTCACTTTTTTGTATTATTTTTTGTTCTATTATAATATCATTCCATTCTTATCTTTACTCTCTTTGTTCTTTGTGCCTTCATTTTCTTTCATTTTCCCCTTTTTATTCTTTCATTTCTCACATTTTCTTTTTAAGTTTCTTTCATTTTCTTTAAATTTTGAAAGAAATGTTATTTCACATTTATTCATCTTTTACACTTTTTTTTTTCTTTCTAGTTTTTTGGACCTGTCAGTTTTTTATCTTTCTCTTTTGCTCTTTAGTTTCTTTCACTTTTCTTTCTTTTGATTTTTTCTTATTATTATGACCAGTATTTCATTTTCCTTGTTCTTTTGTCACTTTGTCTTTTCTTTCAGTTTTTCCATAATTTCTTTCTTTTGTTCTTTTGTCCATCAAAGATTGAATATCTCAGGCATTCACAGTAATATAATTTCTGCGAACACCCTTCAAATGTCTGTATGTCTAAAGGAAGTCTGTATGTCTAAAGGAAGTGTGTGTGTGTGTGTGTGTGTGTGTGTGTGTGTGTGTGTGTGTGTGTGTGTGTGTGTGTGTGCGCAGCTTCGATGTGGAGATGTGGAGAGTGGCTGTGGGCCCTCAGCAGGGCGTTTGTTCCACAGACTGGGGGGCTCAGATCTGCATCTTGTGTCAGGAGGAGCAGGAAGTTCAGGCTCAGGCACCAGCCATGGTCCTCACAGCATGTGTTCAGAGATCTACTGTTCTTACACAGGACCGTGGAAAGACACTCTCCCCTAAAGGCAAATGATGCCTTATACTTTACCACTCAAGTACCTTTATTGTGATGAGCAGAAAGTGTTGACACTAAGCATGTATAAATTCCTTGCACGTGTTATGATGATTTATTATGATTGAAGCATTTGTGTGTGTGTGTGTGTGTGTGCGCAGCTTCGATGTGGATGAGAGCAGAGTGGCTGTGGGCCCTCAGCAGGGCGTTTGTTCCACAGACTGGGGGGCTCAGATCTGCATCTTGTGTCAGGAGGAGCAGGAAGTTCAGGCTCAGGCACCAGCCATGGTCCTCACAGCATGTGTTCAGAGATCTACTGTTCTTACACAGGACCGTGGAAAGACACTCTCCCCTAAAGGCAAATGATGCCTTATACTTTACCACTCAAGTACCTTTATTGTGATGAGCAGAAAGTGTTGACACTAAGCATGTATAAATTCCTTGCACGTGTTATGATGATTTATTATGATTGAAGCATTACTGAAAGGAATTATGCTTAAGTACTGTGATGTAGAATCAGGTTTCTCAGGGGTTTCCTATTTTGTTTTTGTTTTTTTTGCTGCAAAACAGTAGGCTGCTATCCCCTGTTCATGCCCCCAGATCTGGCTGTGGGAACACACACTGGCAGCTGTGGACATGTGATGCACGCCACCTGCTGGCAAAAGTCAGTTAGTGCTTAAAAGTTACATTGTAAAAACTGTATTGTAAAAACTATACGTCTGCTGTCTTACAAATTTCATGACCCCTTGAAATCACCATTTGGGACGCTTATACCAAACAAATCTGCTCAGCCTTTACATCTTCATGTCTTTTTGGCTGTTTGTAGGTACTTTGAAGCTGTGCAGAACACCACTCGGAATCGGCTGCATGCAGACCTGATCATAGACCTGGAGAACGGCGAGTTCATGTGTCCACTCTGCAAGTCCCTCTGTAACACGGTCATTCCTCTGATCCCTGTGGAGCCCAGCAAGCTCAACTAGTATGGCACCATTACTAATGTTATTTTTCAGGTGTTTACACTGGGAAAAGTCAAATCTAATTTCTGTTTTGTCTCACTGTCAGTGAGAGTGCCGAGTTAGTTGGTCAGCATCTCACTCTCGAGCGCTGGATTCAGATCATGTCTTCTCGAATCAGAGGACTGAGAGGTACATGGGAAACAGGTGAGAGTCAAAACTGATTTGTGCCTCCTGAATCTGTCTTTTCAATGTCTTAATGTCATTAAGATACTGTCTCTTTAATTCGAATTGGTGTGTGTGTGTGTGTGTGTGTGTGTGTGTGTGTGTGTGTGTGTGTGTGTGTGTGTGTGTGTGTGTGTGTGTGTGTGTGTGTGTGTGTGTGTGATTACAGACAATAACAGTGAGGAAGCGGCGGAGGAAGCAATGGTACTTTTTGATGAGAGTCAAGCTGATTTCAGATCCATTCTCAGTTTTGGAGTTCAAGAGCCGTGAGTCTCTAAACAGACAAGTCTTTATTTAAGCCAATATAAAATTAAAATTGAAATATGTGCTTCTGGTCTTATAGTGCACAATATCAGATCAAAGAATAAAAGTCAAAATGCTTTATACAGTGGGTACGGAAAGTATTCAGACCCCCTTAAATTTTTCACTCTTTGTTATATTGCAGCCATTTGCTAAAATCATTTATGGTATTAATATATACCATTTTTTGTTGGTGAAAATACTAATGGCCTAAGACATACATACATACATACATGTGTGTGAGTGTGTGTATATATATATATATATATATATATATAAAAACCTTCATGTTATTTCTGAATATGATGTAAACTCTGTGATTAGGCCGAAGTTCTCTCGCAGTATCACAGAGATGTTGGGGGTCTGTGCGACCACAGTGCACAGGGTGGGATTGCAGACCGCTCCCAATGACCTGTGCCCGTACGTGCCTGTCATGTCATGGAACACGTGTGCCTACACCATCCAGGCCATCGGTAATGCTCTCCTTTGACTTGCTCACTTAGGGCATTTGTCAGGCACTGTTGTCTGTAAAGCACTTTAAAATGGTAGCTATGTTCACACAGTCAGTGTTAGGCATCATCACTCATATTTACCGATAAGTGTCTATCAAATGATCCTATATTGCATAACTTGTGTAAATGGCAGAACTGTATTTTGGTGCTTTGTGAACATAATCAGTCTTGTAATTTTGTCATGTACCGCCTCATCTGATTTTGTTTTCTCTTTCTTTAGAGAGCATGTTACAGGAAGAAGGGAAGGCTCTTTTTGGATCTCTCCAGAACAGACAGGTCTGGTTTGGCTCTGCTTATATAGATCATAGTGCCCACCATTTAATGTGGGATTGATTTCTAAAATCATTTTCATCTTCAGCTCTCTGGACTCAAAGCATTAGTGCAGTTTTCAGCTTCTCAGAGGCTGAAGAGCAGACAAGCAGTCATACAGAAGCATTTTGCTGATATGTTAGCAGGTGTGTCACGTTTAGGAGATGATTGATATGTTTGTTGGTTTTGGTCATGCAGTAACTCTCTGTCTCTCTCTTTCTAGTCCTGGTACCTGTTCCTACTGTAGAAAACGCACCATCAATATTAGAAGTGGACTTCTTTCATCTACTGGTGAGTGTTTATAAATAAATATAGGTGATAGATAGAGAGAGATAGCGAGATCTCATATATATATATATATATATATATATATATATATATATATGCACACACACATATATATACACATTATAACACAGTTATAAGTTTCAGTCTCTCTAAACCCCTCGTTTCCGTGAACCTACTCTGCTCTGATTGGTCAGATGGCCCAGTCTATTGTGATTGGTCAACCGCATACGGTGATTCAATAGAGCCAGCTGGTCCAAATAAACAGGGTACTGAGCCATCTTTCAAGAGCAAGCAATTTGTGAACTCCCTGAGATAAGAGAAGCAGTCGTCAGTAAAATGACAGGAGCATAAAAAAAGATTGGGGTTGTACTGCTGTGGTACAGTGGGAAAAATTTATTTTAACCATTGATTCTTTGCAGCCTAATCTTTCGGTAGTGAAAATAAAATGAATTTAATTTCACAGCGTAAGACACAGCGTCTTCTGGACATGATGTTGATCACACAATGCTACAATGTTTGAGGGCTGGGGTCAAGTTATTCGCAGTCGTCCATCGTAGAATGTATGTGGGCATTATGCAAATGTGTTTCTCCGTGACGTGTAGTCGTGAGATTCGACTCTGACGACTCGTTTAGGCTGTTCAGAGTCGATTCTTTCTTTTGGGAGACAATAACTTTATTTATCGTACACTTCCGGCTTTACAACTTTGCAGATTGTTTACATTCACATACAGCTACATTACCCACTGCATGAAAGGCAATATTTGAAATGGCATAATAGGGGTACTTATTTTTGCCAGGTAGCTACTAAAATAAGCATGCATGAATCAATCAATCAATCAAAATGATCTATTAAAAAAAATCTATATAATAGCATCTTCTAAATGAATAAAGTTCAAATGAATGAAAGACTCAATATTTGTTGCACTGAACCCAAACCATTTCTAGAAACCAGAATATCATAGACTTACAGAATGGCTTTTTTTGCTTAGGGTCAGTACGTAACCACCCAGAACACACATCTTCAAATGCTGTTTAATGCACATAGACTTCAAGCAGCTAGTTAAGTTAGTGGTAAGTGGTTGAACATTCCTCATCAGTTTCTAATCAGTCGGACTGTATGTGTGATGTTCCGCTCAGGTGGGACTGGTTCTGTCCATCCCAGCGTTGTATCAGGAAGAGGCTGTAGACCTGCAGCCTTCAGCAGTCAGCACAGCGTTCAATCACCTCTACCTTCTGCACCTGGTCACTATGGGTCACATGCTGCAGATCCTGCTGGCTTCACACGGTAAACACACTGCCATCGTCAGATGCAGACTGACACTGAAGTATAACATTTTATGCACAGCACTTATTTTCAATAATATTGTATGTAGATTGTGCTGTAATAAGAGGGCCAGAGGAGGGCGATGAGGCCCAGGCTGCAGCTGAACTCTTCTCTATTGTGTCTCAACACACAGATGGGTGAGTTTATATACTTGTCATATAGGGAAAGACTCCCAGTTTCTTTCTTGCTGTCTCTCATTGTCTCTCTCTTTCTCAGGTTGAGAGCTGGTGTGTCTGGTTTCAGTGTAGAGAGTGTAAAGAGAGGTGTTCTTCCCTTCCTGCGCTGTGCTGCACTGTTCTTTAATTGCCTTACAGGAGTCCCCCCTCCAGAGGAGCTGTCCGGTACTGCAGGTCACTACACTTCATATGTTGTATTTAAACATGCCACTTCTATTACATGAAAACATTTGAATAATCAAATGGTTGTAGGTTCAAATGACTAATAATGTCATAAGTACTATATAAAAGTACTATATCATCAAGGCTATTTTCTCTGTGGTATACAGTAAAATGCCAAGTATTTGTGTATTTAATGTCCGTGTATTTAATTTTCTGTCACTGTTCACACAGCAACAGGCTGCACAGTACTTTATGCAAATAAATCTAACAGTTATTAACCATAATTATTCTATGCAGAATCACCTGAAAGTCAGCTGCCTCTGCTGTGTAGTTACCTCTCCTTGCCCTCCAACCTGTTTCAACTGTTTCAGGACCACAGGGATGTTGTAACCACCTTAATAAAGAGGTACAAATCAGATGATGACTAACTATTTACAGTATTCCATACAATTGTGCTAATGAACTTTATTACTTGGTATAGTGCAAGTGAAGTGACTGTGGCCAAGTATGGTATCCCATACTCGGAATTTGTGCTCTGCATTTAACCCATCCAAGTACACACACACACCATGAACACTCACCCGGAGCAGTGGGCAGCCATATTGCTGCGGGGCGCAGTTGGGGGTTCAGTGCTTGCTCAAGGGTCTCACCTCAGTCGTGGTTATTCACCGACAATTCCTGCCGGACTTGAGACTCAAACCTGCAACCTTCAGGTTACAAGTCCGACTCTCTAACCATTAGGCCACGACTGCCCCGTATAATAAACAATAATAGTAGTAATAAACAAAATATATAAACTAATACATAATAAACAAAACAATACCAGTATTGTTGTTGCTGTTAAGTTGTTGATTATTATTATTGATAACATTATTATCATTATATTATTGTGCTGCTGTTTAATTGTTCTTTTAGTTGTTACTAATAATGATTATTATAATAATTTTGGTTGTTGAATTATTTACATTATACTATTTAATATAAATATTATATTATTTATAACATAAATTTACTTAAAAATGAAATGTATTATATGTTGTTGTTGCTGTTGTTAAAAAAAAAGATCATCCTCATCAAATGTATTTTTGGTTTTCAAATTTCATAATTATACATAATTCACACATCGATGAAAAAGGTGTAAACTGAAGCATAGCTCATTTTAAGTAGAAGAAGAAGGATTAATCAAACAGCTACAATTTTATTTGTTAATAAACAATTATTAATAATTTTAATTATTCATTATTAGTAGTAAGATATTTATTAGTATTAAATATGTAAATATATTTTCATTAATATTAATATGTTGTGGCTTATAATATTAAGAACGCCCCTTTATCGTGGTCAAATCACTGAATTGCATGGCCTGTCATAGCTTATTGTTTTCTTTAAGACCGTATATTTCTAAATTCTAATTCCATCCAGTATGTTTATCTTTCCATTCACTTTGATTATAAGCATTGCTTTGTTTCTGTGTGTCAGGTGGTGTGGGGATGCAGCCATATCCAAAGCCCTCAAAGGTGAAATGCAAATCATCAGGTTAGACGATACTTAAGTTCTCCTCTGTTTGATAGTAAGCTCACTTCCCCTTTATTTTGAACAATAATTGAACTGAATTTCCCACCTGTTGTTCAGGTATCCTCGTAAGAGAAACAGGCTAATAGATCTTCCAGAGGACTATAGTGTGTTGCTCAACCAAGCTAGTCACTTCAAGTACGTACTTTAATAAACGATTGCCTATAATGTCCATTGAGTGAATTTAATATTTTGTGCAGATGAATCGGATGTTTCCTGTGACTTTCTCTCTTCCCCATAGATGCCCAAACTCATCAGATGACGAGCGAAAGCACCCGACCCTGTGTCTGCTGTGCGGGGTCATGCTGTGTGCGCAGAGCCCCTGCTGTCAGCAGCAGCTGAACGGGGAGGAAGTGGGAGCGTGCACGGTTCACGCCACCATCTGTGGGGCAGGAGTGGGAATGTTTCTCAGGTGAGAGGAAGAAATATTTTGTTGTAAATTTAAAAGTAATGTGCTACTTTACTAGTTACTTGGGAAAAAAATGTAATCTGATTACGTAACTTGCGTTACTTGTAATGAATCACCCCCAACACTGGTAATTAAATGTTTGCATTTTACTATAATAATAATAATAATAATAAGTTATGCGTTTAGCATACCCTTTTATCCAAAGCGACTTACAGTGCATTCAGGTTATACATCTTTTACAAGTACTATATTGTTATATTATTATACTCTGTTCATAGTTTTTTTTTAATTTTTTTTTTTAAAGTCTCTTATGCTGACCAAGGCTGCATTTATTTGATTAAAAATACAGTAAAAACGGCAATATTGTGAAATGTTATTACAATTAAAGCAAGTATTTTCCATTTCAATATATTTTAAATTGTGATTTATTCTTGTGATGGCAAAGCCGAATTTTCAGCATCATTAATCCAGTATTCGTTGTCACATGATCCTTTAGAAATCATTCTAATATTCTGAATTGGTGTTCAAGCACCAATAAAAATAAAGACAAAAAATTTTTTTATTATACTGATTTTGTGCTATTTTAGTGTCATTGAGATGCTACTGTAGTATTTGCTCATATTTTGAATTTGTTTTTATTTTTTGTAATTTTGTTGTGCGTTTTGGTCATTTTTAGCATTTTTTGTTTGTTTTGTTAAATATGTATATGTCATTTTTATTCATTTTTTAGTTTTAGTTTTAATTATTTTAGTACATACATCATAAGTACATCATAAAGCTGAAGTAAAAGTTATTTTATTTTATTTTAGTTAAGATTTGTTTCAAGTAACAAAAATGTTTTCTTATAGTTTGTTTTATTTAACTATAATTACACTGTGGGAAACTGATAGATTTTATACTAAATTGACTTTTATTAAAAAAAAAATTTGAAATGTATTCGTATTCAACAACAACAATGACTGGTTTGTCAAAATTATATTTCCTCTGATTGGATGGGGAGGGAATCATAATTCACATCCAAAACATAATTAAAGAGATTAAAGGGGTCATATGATGTTGCTAAAAAGAACATTATTTGGTGTATTTGGTGTAATGAAATGTTTATGCGGTTTAAGTTTCAAAAAACACATTATTTTCCACATACTGTACATTATTGTTTCTCCTCTATGCCCCGCCTTTTTGAAACGCGTACATTTTTACAAAGCTCATCGTTCTGAAAAGCGAGAGGTGCTCTGATTGGCCAGCTATCCAGTACGTTGTGATTGGCCGAATACCTCAAGCGTGTGACGGACATGTTATGCCCCTCACCATACTGTGATGCCCTGTCCGGCCGGAGCGACGAGACAAAAACATGAAAACCCATTATAAACGAGGCATTTGTTGCATCCAGTGGGGACATTACAGATTATAATGACTTATGCTATCTTTTTACGCATTGCGTTCCATCGCGCCACATCGTGACGTAGACATGTGGGGGCGTGTTAGAATGAGCCTTTTTAGGTAGGCGCGGTTTAACTTTAGACTTTCTTTGCAACTTTACAAATCTTCTTTATGCACCAAGAGCTTGTAACACTCCAAAGAGAAAGGAAAAATTGAAATCGCATCATATGACCCCTTTAAATAAGATCAAAATGCTGCAAATATAATTCTTCACCTAGCTTTGGAAACACTGTATCATCATTAAGCATGTGCTTTGTTAGTTTATTCTTTATTAGCAGTAATGCTAAGCTGTATTTGTTTGTGCTTTGCTAGGCGTGGGAACCCGCTGCACTTGTGTCCAGAGCGCTACCGTAAGTTGCTTCATATGTGGCAGCAGCATTGCATCCTGGAGGAAATCGCCCGCAGTCTGGAGCTCCTCAACGTCATGTTCCCCTTTGAGTGGCAGATGCTTTGAGCTCCGAGACTGCCAGAGGAAGTGCACAACGCAAGACACGCTGACTGCAAGGAGTAATAAACTCCCTCGCTTCTCTACCTGCTGCTGTCCGTGTTTTCCAGCAGCCAGTGCATTATGGGTAGTCACACTAAACAGGCCCATAATAGATATTAAAGAAGTGAATGGTTCTCTCGGCTCTTTATTTAGCTTGGGTTGCAGATCTACACTCACTTTAGCACTGAAGCTTTTTCTTTTTGCTCATTGTGGTGTTTTTGCATTTGTTTTCAAGGTGTAAAGATTTATTGAGGGGCTTGTGTCTCTTTTTTTGACTTATGTGAAATGCTAGTCCTCTCCCCCTGCTACAGCCTTTTTGCTCTTTCTTTCATCTGTGTAAGAAATGTATTCCTGTGAATATAATATATCTATGTACTACTTTATTATGTAAAGCCACCGTCAACATAAAATCTATATTCAGTGTTTCTGAGTGAGAAGCTATTTTGCAAATTATGTTCTCAGGTGAATCTCACAAAAATATGTCCGGGTCACATACTAC